GTCCTAATTCTCTATGCACCCTGATTCAGGTGGAACAAAGAAAGCGTCATGGGGAAAAACAAAAGGGGGGGGGGGGGGGCACCAAGGCCTCAACACTACTTTATCCTTGAAGTGTGGCCAACTCCAAGATTAAGTGAAGGTCCCACAGAGATGAGGATTTGGGGTGGAGGGGCACACAGACTTTTACAAAAGAATAGGACACAGCAGATATGTGAAGTAAAATGTTCAAGGCTGAGATCTGCCCCTTGTTGGTACTTAAAAGAGGTATTAGGCTAAGTTCACATTTAAGTGGGGTTTGCGCGGGAGCAGCAGTCCATTTATTTGAATAGGCTGCTGTGCCTTACATTTCCTGCAGAAAAAATAAAAAGTGTGCCCGCACCATTTTAAAAATGCAGCCACAGGGAAATCACATGGTAATTTTGCACCATGTGACTGCCCTGCGGTTCAATACTGATTTAAAGCCAAAGACATTTCTACAACAGATTGGGAAAAACCCAAAATGTGCTGCACAACATATTGCTGCATATGAAATTTGTGAGCTTCACAGCAGGTGAAAGGGTTTCCATGCACAGTAGTACACCTTCCTGGATCTCAGGGTTTGGTTTTCAATGACTATGCCATCATAGCCAGTGGCCATAAAGCAGAATGGAAGAAGCAAATCTGAAGGAGCCCAAGTGAACGAAAGCTATGCTGACTTGCATCATCCAATCATATGCAAGCAAATATGCATTTTCTGTTTCATTTTGCTTGCCTTATATTGGGTTTTCTTTGCAAACTGAAGCGTCACCTCATTTACTAAGCTCTGGAGCAAATGCCCTTGCAGAGTTCAACTGTACTTGGAAAGTACACAGTTTATTTACCTTTATTAAATCAGCCCTAATGTCTCCATACCACATTCTTTTTAGCTAAGCCCAAGAAAGGAGATCTTCAAAAGAGGGATCAGTAGGCACATCCATCACCAAAAGGACACTAGTTAAAAAAGGTGTCTTAGCTGGACCGGGTGGGGTTATGCCTGGGCAGGGATTTTCTGCCTTTTTTGGCCAGTGCACAGTGTCCTGAAGTTTGAAGCATAAGAAATCATGAACAAGAGGTACCCTGTGATCTATGATTAACAAATGAAGACATCCTAACCACTTCAGTACTGGGCACTTTCACCCCCTTCCAGCCCAAGTCAATTTTCAGCTTTCAGTGCTGTTGCACTTTGAATGACATTTGCGTGGTTATACAACACTACCCAAATAAAACGTTTAGCATTTTTTGCAACAGACATCTTTCTTTTGGTGGTATTTAATAAACACAGTTTTTTCTATAATTTTTGACTTTCCAGGAAAGCTTCACAAACATACTTCTTATCCAGCTGTTCTGTGTGAAATCCAGTGCCTGTCAGTTTAAAAGAAGACAGTTCCGTTTAAGTAGCTAATCCAGTTTCCACTAGAGTGCTCCTTCTCCTTACTGGCCAGCTCAGGGAGTGCAGATCTACTGACTCAGTCTTCCTCCTATGAGCTGCTGGGTTGGTAGCTGCTCTCAGGCCTTCTGCTGAGCCGCTCCTTCCCTGCTGCATAGGTGGTCCTCGCTCTGGGGGCCGATGAGGTCCTGCGCTTCCATGTTTCCCTGCCTGAAGGTGAGCCCCTTCCCATCTGGGCTCCTGCTCTCCAGCCTCTCACTTCTCCATCTTCCACCTTAACTCTCCTGTTGAGCAGGTTCAGCCACTCTTAAGGGCTATCCTGACCCCATGCCAAGCCTCCTCCTTGGGAATTGGTCAGGATCCCCTAAGAGTGCAGACCAGCCACTCATCATAGATCAGGCGGAAGTTCCAGAGAGCTGGTCTGCAGAGGGTCTCAGCTGTAAGCAAAATTTGAGCTCCTCTGACTATTCCTCCTAGCAGCTACTCCACCTCTAACTAAAAAATAATCATCCAGCTCCCCCTACCTACCTAGGAGGGAGCTGTAATGCTTTCTTTCAGCCAACTCGCTATTGTTTCCTTAGATGCTGACAAGCTATTCCTAGGGCCACCAAACAAAGGCTAAAAGGGAGTTCTCCACGCCTTTGTTCGTTTGATATAAGATGAGGCTTCTTCCAACATCGATCTTATTGTATTCCCATTTTGTCACATATTTTCCCTTTGTCACATTTAGGATTTCCGCAGAAAGAATGGATAATGCTTTCTTAGGATCTGTGGAAGTCTGTTGCTACTTTAGGTAAAAAAAAAAATAAATATGAAGGTCAGAGTGTGAATAACTTTGTCTATCAAAATGTTACGATACGGTTATCTGGCAGACAGGGTTTGTAACTCAAGAACCATGCGTGCCGAGACCAAAGCTACCAATAACACTGTCTTAAAAATCTTAATGAACATTCTTGCAGGAGCTCAAAAGGTTCATGCCAAAAGCTTTACAATACTGTACCCAAATTCCAAGATTTGGGCTTCTGCCTTTTTCTTGCAATCGCTCTCAAAAATCTTTTAAAATGAATGTCTTACACAAATTTCCTTTCAAGAAAAAAATTGATTGCTACCTGTACCTCAATCATGCCAACCATTAATTTAACTGTGCCTGCTTGCAAGAATTCCAAAATTTTTATTGACATTGGTGCATGATCCATATTGTTGTCTGCCTACCAGTGAGAAAACAGTCCAAAATTTTATTGTAGATGGTGTTTGTGGTGCTTTTGCGACTGTTTAGGATGGCAGCCACAACCTTTTCTAATAGGTCTTTTTGATCGCTACTAAAGCTGGATTCTCTTTTCAAGGGTGATGGTATTTTCCTTGGGACAGGAGATCCTGTGTCGGAGGTAGTATCCAAGGATCTGTTATGCTTAGCTTTTTTAGGATTGAGCCAAAAATGAGTGATCAGGATGATCTTTGATTGTGTGGAGTTTAGCTTCTGTAGGACTCATGGAACTAATCAAAATGGTGGAAAAGCATAAAGCAGTTCTCCTTCCCATGATTGGGCTAGGGAATTTGTGCCCAAGCTTAAAAAGGTCTTTTTCTGGGGGAAGAAAAAAAAAAAAAAAAAAAAAAAAAAAAAAAACCACACCACTTTTGCGTTTTTCTTGGTGGCAAATAAATCTAATGTCCGGTGTCCTCAGTGGCCTCTGCAACCACCATTGTAAAAATCTGCGGGGCTGAGGAAAACCCAAAAGGCAGAGCGTTGAGTTGAAAGAAGTCTTCATCAGCCCCTTCAGAGCAAATCTATGGAATTTCTTTATGGTAATATGAAGGTATGCATCCTTTGGTTCTAGGGAAACCATGAAGATTCCTGGGGACATCTCTTACAGTATAGACTGACTCAATGCAAAACTTCATGAGCTTTATCTTCTCATTTACCTTCTTCAATTTTGTTCTTGTCCAAATTTTCGAAAACAGGTGTCCTGTTTTGGACAGTTTCCCACAGAGAAACAGAAAAATGATGGCAGAAAAAGATCAAAATCCATCAAGTCTGCCAATTTTGTTTTTTGTGGGGGGGTTGTGATTGTGGAGTGAAAGGGCTTGTTCTTCCTGTAGTTCAAATGTGTCATATAGAACTCTCAGGAGAGCTTCTGTTTCTTCAGAAGGAATAGAAATCTGTGTTTTTGGATCTTCCCTTTCCAATTCTCCTTCTTCAGAATCAGACATGTTAGTGGACTCTTCCTCCAGGTCCTCCGAAGCCCATTGCTTGCATTTCCTCCTGATTTCAGAGAGAAGGAAAGGTATACCTGTGCTTGAAGTGCTAGGCAAAGGCTCCATCTGAGTAGATTCTTGCCAAGTCACTTTCCTTTTTCATGGATTCTAAGAAACCTTTGATAAGTGGCCCCAACACTTTCTTTACCAATTTCTCAATGCAGACTTGAAAAAGTGCTTTGGGGCAAGAGCTGGATAGCCTCTTTCTACATGATGCCCCTTTTTTTTTTTTTTTTTTTTTTTTTTTTTTTTTTTTAACTTCAGTGGGTACTTCCTCCTCCTTCTCCTTTCCTCTTCCTGGGTCCCAGCCTGTGGAGAGAGCACAGTCACCAGTAGGGACGTGGGCACATACCCCATGACTAAAGGGACTCGGTCACTAACACAAGCATCAGAGAGGCAAAAGGAATCCCAAAAGGGGTGCTACAGAGCAAACCATAACGCCACAAGAGTGCCCCCAGCCAAAATGCCTCAAATCAAGCAAGGTCAGAGCAAAAACAGACCCATAGAGCCCTACCTTATTGCTGTCCACTCCCTCTGCAGGAAATGCCTCCAGCAGGGCCACCTTGCACAAACAAAAGATGGGTCCCTACTGTCCAGAGGAAACACAAACAGAGGCACTGAGGGAGTGCAGGGACCTTTAAAAAAATGTGGATCAGGTGTGTCCTTTTAGGAGGAGCCCATCTCTCAAGTGAAGCTGTCCTGGAAGACTACTTTGGAAAGTCAAGTTTTATTACATTTACCCAATGGGATAATAAGCACTAGCACCAGACTTCCAGGTTAGGTTGTAAACTTGGTATCCTGGGTTTTTAGAAAATAGCAACTACACTGTTTTTACCTATAGACACAAGGTGGTAAAATATACCATAAGCTTGTGTTATAAGATTTTACTAATAACTAATATACTTAAATAGAGAATGCCCCCATATGATGTGGTTGCTGAGTTAAGTGGCAAATCAAAATCATAATACGTATGAGCAACTTTAGAAGTCTATAAAATAGGACACAAAATGTAACATGTGTGGCCACATTTAATCTTCAACAAGATACCTCAAATTATTTTAGAAAAACATTTTACTGTTGTATATTACAGCACATCTTTAGTTCTACTTACTTACTTTAATTAGACTGCCACCCCCTGCCATGTCCAAATTATGAAATTGGCAAATAAAAAATACTTAATAAAAAATGAAGTATTTTTGTTTTTCCATTTTCACTGAACAGAAATAATTTTCCAAAGGCATATACTGTATTAGACATTTCTTAAATTTGAGTTCACCAGTTTTTCCTCAAGGCACAGACTGCGTTTGACTGCAAAACAAGGCACTTAGCATAATATCTGTCATTAAGTCACATTTAGTTTAACATTGATGTTCATTGCTGCTAATTCGGCCACAAAGTATCGAAAAACGTAAGGCACAGACACAGTGTCAATTGTATCAGAACGATCGCAGATCGCACAGTAGTGCTGTCTGTTCCGCATGGATGACCAGGATGGGGGAGGCTTCTCCAGGTAAGGGGACAGGAGGCTGCCACATTCTACACACACATGAGCCTCAGACCTATCAGAACAGTTAAAAAGTCTATCATGGAGCAAGAAGGAGGTACCATGAGCCAGCAAGGCATCGCGTTCCATCTCTCCAAAACGTATACCTCCCTGTATGTTCCTGCCACCAACAGGTTGGTTGGTCACCTTGTCTCGAGCTCCTGTTGTCCTTACTTGGAACTTGTCAGAAACCATGTGGCGCAGTCGCTGGTAGTAGACCACACCAATGAAAATGTCTGCCTCTAGCTCTTCCCCACTAATACCACTGTACAATTTCTCTGTGCCATAGTAGTTATAGCCAGCTGCCTTTAACATCTCACCAAAATATTCCAGAGCTGAATTTTCTTCAGAGAAGGTAAAAGGTGTGGCATCATGGCACAAGCCATGCAAGGCTGCTGATTTACCAGCCATGCTCTCTATCAACATCCCAATGGTCATTCTTGATGGGAAACCGTGTGGGTTGAACAGAATGTCTGGCACCATTCCACTTTCAGTGAATGGCATATCCTCCGATGGCCAGAGTCTACTGAGAATTCCCTTCTGGCCATGCCGGCTGGCAAATTTATCTCCAATGGTTGGGTTGCGTGGCACCCTCATGGTGATGCAAACAGATTTAAACTTTCCTATGCCCAAGTCATTGCTGCAAACCTTTATGTTGTCCACAACACAGTCTTCTTTGCTCCTGAAACAAGACACAAACAAAATTTAAACAAGCTACCAAGGCACAGCAACTAGCAACTTAACAATATAAACATTACTTGGATATTAAACGATAACTTCAATAGTAAGGCCTCATTTACATGGACAGGCAAGGGGAATTAAAAATAGGCAGTTAAGCTACAGTTTTACCATCCCTCAAGCTACAAGTTAACATGGCCAGCAACAATGTAAGTATATAGTGCTGCAGTTGTGGTGCTGTGAAAATTCTATAACACATTCAAATGCATGGAGCCATTATGCAGCAGTGTGTAATGCAGGCAGTTGCAGCCCAGTTATGCAGGCTTTCAAAAGGTTTCAAAAGCGATTCTAAACCTAGAAGGTTTTTTTTTCCCACCTTTAAAATAACAAACATGTCATACTGCTCTCTACAAAACCATTGCAGAGCAGGGAATCCCAATCCATCTCTTCTTGGGTTGCCTGCCAGCACTTCTGGCTCCTCCCCACTGCCAAATGCCCCCATCGCAAGCCACTTGCAATAGAGACACCCATGTGGGCTTGCTTCTAAACTGGCTGTGTGTCCACCAACACACAAAGCATGGCTTGGTCAGCCCATGCCCCCTTATCCCCCAATGCTCTCTTCTCACTGGCTGTGACTGACAGCAGCAGGAGCCAATGGCTTCTGCCTCTCTGTTCAATGAGGAGAGAGAGTCAAGAGTTTCTGCTCTTGCGTACATCACTGGATTGAAATCAGGCTCAGGTGAGTATTTAGGAGGGGCGGGGGGAGAGGGCTGCATAGAATACATTAAGGTGAAAAAAAAAAAAAAAAAAACCCACCACGTCTGCCTTTAGAACCACTTTAAAACTGGCATCCACATGAGGAGACCTATAGTCCCTGAGCCTCCTGTCAATTGAACTGCAATGTGTATTGCTTTTCAGAGGGTACAGAAACAGCCATAGAAGGCTTTAGGCCTCCATTTATAAAGCAGTGATACTGCCTTAATGCCACCAAGCTGCTGCTTTAAAACAAAACAAAACAAAAAAAACAAACAGCACAGTTATAGAGTACAGCAGTGTGCTTTACAAATGGGCACTACACATCACTTCACTTCACACAGCACTGAAGTGGAACACCATTCAGTGTGATGAAAAAAAAAAAAGCCAGGAGGAGAGCTCAGTCAGATGGCCTCTAAAACCAGTCTTGTCTTCAGTCAGTTTTCACTGCACTGTGTACAGTACACCTCAGGGCAGGAGAGAAAAAAAAAAAAAAACCCCACAACATTCACTACATCACCAATGTTTTACCCCTTTAAAGACCCTACAAATCTTCTGTATTGGGCTGACACCACAGAGCATTTACCAAATTTAAATCACATATGATGGCATAAGCACTGCCCAGTTGTAATTTACCAGACTACAGATCACCTACCGCTGTTCTGTACGCAGAAGGGAGGTGTTTTGTAGTGCAAGGGGAAAACTAAGGGCTAACTAGACTTCAACTAATACAAGAAAGTTTTTACCTATTAAAACCAATAACAAAACACTTTCAAGTATACATTTAAAAGCTCAAAAAGGAAACTAATAAAAAAAAAGGAAATTCATTGTTAGGGGTTTACATACACTTTAAGTAGCGAGATGTTTGTGGAACATCACAAGATCTACATTACATGGCATTCATAAGATGCACAATCCAAAGTATAGGCCATTGCGATGTGCATTGGAGAGTGGATAGTGGTATCTGACCTCAATTTAATATTGGACGAGGGGATAAAAAGAGAATTTACTTAGTAATTACTTACTTATAATATACAGTGAAGTTCTCTCTAGTACTTTGATTGATATAACTATAGAATGGGTCTCCAAATTTCAGAACAGCTCCCACTGGTGGTAGGCCATCCTCATCCAGTTTTCCCATCACCCGTTCATCACCTGGTTTGATGCCAAACACAAAATTGTCCTCACTACTTCTAATTTTTTGTGAAAGATCTATAAATTCTGTTTTGTACACACTGCCATGGGCAAATCCTCTCTCCCATGATGACTTGTTTAAAATCTGAAAAACAAAATGAAAACAAAATACTTTTGAATCTAAACTCAAAAAGTTATCACTGAGACACCAAAAACTTAACATATTTAGAAATAGATACAGCTGTCACAGTCGAAATACACAATGCTTTGGGGACTTGTGAGCTTTTTGACTGTGATAGTAGAATGCAGGGACCAACTTTAAAAGAGAAGCATCGTTTTTTTTTTTTTTTTTTTTTTTAGCTTTATCCTGTTCCCTGTGAGCTACTAGAAATCTTTACAGCCCTTTGAGAAGTGCACCCTGTTAAAATCAAGGTAAAATACCTGTGGGAGGGGCTTCAGTCTTCTCAGGATTCTTATGCCGACAATCTTGTCTGGATCCACCTTCTTTGCTTCTCCTGTGTTTGACTGATGTTGGCTCTGGGCTGCCTGCTTTCCCCCTCCGCCTCTCACACAACACACAGCTCAGATCCATTCTCTTACAGACACCTATCTGCACATTGGGTAGCTGCCTGCTGCAGTTCTGATATGTAAAGTTCCCAGATAAAGACAGCTGTGAGCTCTATTTTTTCTGAGAGGGAAGAAGTGAGTGGGGAGGAGGGGAGATATGAAAACCCAGAGCCAACATCAAACACAGAAGGAAAGAAGGTGGATCCAAACAAGATTGTTGGTGTAAGAATCCTAAGACTAAAACCACCCCCACAAGTATTTACCTTGATTTTAACAGAAAAGGGTGCACATCTCAGAGGGCTGGAAAGATTTTTATGTATAAGCAGCTCACAGGGAATAGGATAAAAAAAAAAAGAAAACCCACACTTCTCCTCTAATTCTGCATTTCCATTTAAATCAAAAAGGAGAAATCAGACTGGCCGCTATTGATAACTAGGTTTCTTATTTTCTCTTCTACAGTTTTATTGGAGCAGACTTTAGGTGTCCACACTTTTGTCAGATCTTATTACTACTTTTAGCAAACCATTAATTTTCCTAACATTCTGTACATGAAGAAGCAAATAATTAGGACAAACTGCTAACAGAGCTTGATTATGAAACTAATCCAAGCCACTAACAAGTTCAGCCATTCACCTCAGTGTGTATGGACATGATGATTGTAACCTAGAATCTATGTTTGCAGTACCACACTAATAATGAACATAATAAAGGGTAATAGACATATCAAAATGAGGTGATATTACAAATAGTTGAGATGTAACAAATGTAAAAGGTCGTTGATCTTAGTGATAGATGAGATATGACCTTAAAAATGATAGGATTTTACAGATATGCTCTTAGTTCAAAAGGTTTCAAAGATAATGTTCTTCCTTAATTTAGCAGTCAGAGTAGTACACACTTGATTACGCTTTCAAATCTGAATGGACGACTCTTGAGCCTAGAGGCTCCGTTCACACTACTAGTGCAACTTTTACATGCCTGCTTGGAGTCTTCTATTGAATGTACACCAAGTTGCACCCAGGGAAAAGATGACAGCAGCCAGAGAGGGATGTTACAATCGCATCACTAGAAGGTGGAGGTGAATAATTTTGGGAGTTTATTTTCGCTTTAAAAATTCACCTTTTGGAATATGCTATTATTTAGGTGGAACATGTAACATGTTCCAGCTCTTGCTGCCAGTTCCCCCTCAGAGTGACAGCTGGCGGAGGATCTTCTCCCAATACCCATAGTCACAATTTAAAAACAGTGTGGCTACGCAGGGCACTGCCCACACAGTGGCATCATTTATTCAGTTTCTAGTGAATGGATAGACTACAACTATGGTCAGCCACCACGGCAGAAGGCTTGTAGTTCTGAATACGCTGATGGCGCTTTCATAGTTCATTCACAAGCCCAGAAACTTTCCACAGACAGCCGTATGAAAGTATGGGCTGAAGGCTGCATGACTTATCTGCAGAAGCCTGACCATTGCACCCATGCTCCACTGATCATGGGTGCAATGCTTTCCAGGCTCCTGCAGGACAAAATAAATGCACAATTTTCAACCTGCACAAATATGTGCATTTATTATTTTTTTCTTGAAAAGGTGAACTTATCCTTTAATTAAGATCTTTCAAATACAACCCTCAGATATTGTATTTAGACAAAGCTCACTGAAAGCTTTGCAAACCCATAAATACTGAAGCTTTATTGTATGCAGCCAAAACAAAAAAAAAAAAAACAAAAAAAAAAAAACAAGATACCCCTCTGTGTTACTACTTAGAAAGGTTTTCCATATGGAGTAAACAATTGATTTTAACCCCTTTCCTACTGGGCACTTATACCCCCTTCCTGCCCAGGCCGATTTTCAGCGCTGTCGCACTTTGAATGACAATTGAACGGACATGCAACACTGTACCCATATGAAATTTTTATCATTTTATTCACACAGCTTTCTTTTGGTGGTAATCGACACTGGGTGTTATATTTTTTTGTGCTATACACAAAAAAAAAACACAAAAAAAACGTTTGTTTCTATTATAAAATATTGTAAACAGGTACAGTCATTTTTCACCTTTACTGATGTGCATTGATGAGGCTTCACTGATAGGCAGCACTGATGAGTGGCACTGACTGAAGGCACTGCTGGGCAGCACTGATGGGTGGCACTGCTAGCCACAGGTGGGTGGCACTGATGATCAGTGCCAAACTGTTTTCTGACAACTGCCAGTTTTTGGCAGTACTTTCCTCTTGCTGTAACAGCGTGAGGAAAGTGCAGCTGACCACTGGTAACTGCATTTACCCAGTGATCTGCTGTGTCATTGGACACAACTGATTCTTATTATTATTATAATTCAGGATGTATATAGCGCCAACAGTTTGCTCAGCTCTTTACAATATAACGGGAGACAATACAGCAACAATACAGTTCAATACAAGAGGGTTAGGAGGGCTCTGCTACTTGGAGCTTACATCTAAGAGGGAGGGGCTAGTGGTACAAAAGGTAGTAACTGTGGGAGATGGACTGGTAGGAGGAGTAGAGGATTCCATTATTAGCTGAGGGCAGGATAGGCTTCCCTGAAGAGATAGGTTTTCAGAGATCGCTTAAAAGTGAGCTGAGCAGGCAATAGTCTGATAAATTGGGGTAGAGAGTTCCAGAGGATGGAGAAGCTCTGGAGAAGTCCTGGAGACAAGCATGGGAGGAGGAGACAAGGAAGCTAGAGAGCAGGAGGTCATGCTAGGAGCGGAGAAGACGGTTTGGGTGATATTTGGAGACAAGATCGGTGATGTAATTTGGGGCAGAGTTATAAATGGCTTTATATGTTATTGTGGGCAGCGCAGTGGCTAAATGGTTAGCACTTCCGCCTGGCAGTACAAGGGTCATCGGTTCGAATCCCAACCACGGCACCACCTGCCTGGTGTTTGCATGTTCTCCCTGTGCCTGCGTGGGTTTCCTCTGGGTACTCCAGTTTCCTCCCACACTCCAAAGACATGCTGGTAGGTGACTTGGCTCCTGTCTAAATTGACCCTAGTATGTGAATGTGAGTTAGGGACCTTAGATTGTACGCCCCTTGAAGGGTACGAACTGATGTGAATGTACAATATATATGTAAAGCGCTGCGTAAATTGACAGCGCTATGTAAGCACCTGTAATAATAATAATTATTAATTCTTTGAATTTTATCCATTGGGCAATGGGAAGCCAGTGGAGGGATTGGCAGAGAAGGATGGCAGATATGGAACGGTTAGTAAGGTGGATGAGTCTGGCGGCAGCATTCATGATAGACTGAAGAGGGGATAGCCTGCGATGAGGTAGGCCAATGAGGAGGGAGTTACAATAGTCAAGGCGAGAGATAACAAGGGAGTGAATAGGTTGCTTAGTGGTTTCCAAGGTTAAGAACGGGCGTATCTTGGAGATGTTGCGGAGGTGAAGTCTACAAGATCATGTGGTAAAAGGCTGCTGTGCCTGGCCTTTTACCACATCACGTGATCAGCGGTGTCCATAGGACACAGAGATCACGGAGGTTGTGCGCCCACTGGGGGCATGCTGGAGGGCGCGTTCTGGGAGAACGTCATATGTCGCCCTCCCAGGGCTGCACAACCGTGCTGTAGCTGATATTTGGCTATAGCCCGGTTGTCAAAAGATAAGAAAAAAAAAAGCATAAAAAATAATTAAAAAATACATCTCATCATCCAAACAGCAATTTGTTTATATGTACGTTCATGTTACACCAATGACTATGGTTGAAAGATGACTTCTGTATAAAATTTAACATACCATAGCGTCTTCCATATCGTATCCGGTGTATGAAATGACGGCAACAATAGCATTAGTGCCAACAGGATAATTGTCCATGTCAAAGTAATCATACATAGAGGGACGCACCAGCGGGCTCTGTGGGGTTTGCAGGCGATATAGCTTATTGTCGGAGCGATCCTGGTAGGTCATGAGTGGAAAGCCCATAGTCTGTTTACCTGGAAAAAGAAGCATAACAACTGGAGAAGTATTTTGAGAAACTGGGCATCCTAAAAAGAATTTATTGTTGACACAAATAGCTCTATATACAGCTACTAGGGCGTGGCGTAATAAAACAGAAGCTTTCTAAAACCTCATTGTTTAGGGCAGAATATTGAATGATGCATGCAAATGCAGACTTCTTAAAAAAAGAAAAAAAAAAAAAAAAAAACACAATACATGTGTCATTGCACACATGCAGTGTACAAAGGATCTGAAATCTGTGGTTTGGCTCTTAGACAAAAAGTACAATGTAACGGTACCAAGTAGTGACACATTTGAGTTTGGTGAAACAGGAATTCCAGGGTTTATTTATGTGTGATTGTAAGAACATCTCTGAACTACATACTGAGAAGGAATGTAAATAACTAAGGCCTCATTTAGACCTGCAGTTGGTGAGGGTGGCAAATATGCGCAGTTGAGCCTGCAATAGGCAGCTAACACAGGTGTTTGCATGTTGCGGCCATAATGCTTCACTTTGCGTCTGCTGCAAAGTTCACCTGACATGTAGTCAACAGTCTAGCAAATGGGGAAGTACCACAAATGCCCCGCTTCCTCATCGCCTGTCAGTCTCTGCAGCACGATTCAAAAGGAGGATCAGGCTTCAGAGACTAGGAAGATTTAAAAGCATGTCTAAATCTACCCCTAGTGCTACAGAAATAAAGCAGACATTCATTTGTTCAGCTGCGTAGCAACACCTTCACAGCTGTTCTATTTAATAAAGTCATAATTTAAATTGCAAATAGCCCCAATTAAATGAGTTCCTGCTCGCAATAGTCTAAATGCGATTTACACATGTTTCCGCCTGTCACGCATAGGGTAACCCATTCACTTCAATAGGCTGCCCGATGCACATTTCTCACCTAAAGGAAGCTCCTGCTGCTTTTTGGACGACAAGCTGTGTATGATTTTTTTAAAGGCGTGTTATGCCACAATTTCCAAGTGATTCTGTTACGTGAAAATCAGGGCAGAGTTGCGCCGTGTTTGGAGTGCCATTAATGAATGGCACACAAACGCATGTGGAGTGTGTTACCGCGATTTGGAATCGCAGGCAGAATCGCATTGAATGTAAATCGAGAGTGAATGGGGCCTTATTGATAAAATATCAACATTTCATCAATACCTGTAATACCAATTATTGCATATTATGGCAGAACTGCTTCCTCAGCAGAGTGTCAGACCCAGGTTGGCATTATATGATTTCTAAATTTTGTTGATATTGGTAGGATGGACCTTTTTCTCTGTATTTTAACCATTTTGCTTTTCTGGAAGCAGATGCCATGAAAAATAAAATGGGAGTTCCAATTTTTTTGCCACACAAGTACAATAATTTCAGTAAAAAATTATTTTGGGGCACACAAACAATATATTACCCAATTTGTTGGCAAAATAGAAAAAGTGAAGTTGCGCCAAGTTAATACTCAAGTCAAACTTTAAATTTGTGCATCTGCCCACAAAATGCTTCAGCACCCTATTTTCCATAGGCAAGGCTTCAAAAGCCCCTACTGGTCAATATTTTAAGGTTCACTACAAATAATAGCCCTAGAAATATAGTAATACCTCGCTTTATAAACGCCGATTTTTTAATGCAATTGCTGCCTTTTTTTTCTTCTTCACTATAGCTCACAGAATTAGCTGTCACTTTCCCCGGAGTTAACCACTTGCCACCCCTGCCACTGTATATATACGTGTGCAGGGCGGCAGTGGAGCACAAAAGCACGTTTTAAAATGGGCTCCGCGCTCCCGACACTTTCGCGGGTAGGGGGCGCGCGCGCTCCCGCCGACCCACAGGTGACACGATTCGATCCCGGAGGGATCAATCATTAGATTTCAGCCAGTGATGTATGGCTGAAATCAGAAGATCGGTCCCTGTCCTATCCTGTCCTGTGTTGACATTTACACAGGGCAGGATATGATGTAATTCTTCTCTGCCTGGACACATTCCGTTCCAGACAGAGAAGAAGACACAGTAAAAGTGAGTACAAAGCACTACACTAACAGTTAGAACACACCTAGGACACATTTAACCCCCTGATCGCCGCCCTTCCTCCTCCCCCCCCCAGTTAACCCCTTCACTGCCCTGTCACCAGTGTCACTGATCAGTGAACCAATTTTTACTGATCACTGTATCAGTGTCGCTGGCGACTTCCGATAGTATTAGCGCCCCTCCCAGATAGCGCCAGATTGCCCGCCAGTAGACAAGTAATCCCGTTTAACCCCTTAATCTCCCCCCCAGTTAACCCCTTCACTGCCCTGTCACCAGTGTCACTGATCAGTGAACCGATTTGTACCGATCACTGTATCAGTGTCGCTGGCGACTTCCGATAGTGTTAGCACCCCTCCCAGATAGCGCCAGATTGCCCGCCAGTACACCAGTAATCCCATTTAACCCCTTGATCGCCCCCCCCCCCCCCCCCGAGTTGACCCCTTCACTGCCCTGTCACCAGTGTCATTGATCAGTGAACAGATTTTTACTGATCACTGTATTAGTGTCACTGGTGACTTCCGATAGATAGCACCAGTTTGCCCGCTAATGCACAGGATTTTTTTTAACCAAAAACATGTAGCAGAATACATTTTGGCTTAAATTTATGACTAACTTTGAGTTTACGATATATTTTTTATAGCTGAAAGTAGAAAATATTGTTTTTTTTTCAAAATTTTCGTGGTTTGTTTATAGCGCAAAAAATAAAAAGCGCACAGGTGATCAAATATCACCAAAAGAAAGCTCTATTTGTGTGAAAAAAAGGACGTAAATTTCGTTTGGGTACAGCATTGCATGACCGCGCAATTATCATTTGAATTAGTGCAGCGCCAAACAGCAAAAAAAGGCCTGGTCATTAAGGGGGGTAAATCCTCTGGGGCTCAAGTGGTTAAAGGAAACTTGTTTCTTTTAAGAAACTAAAAGGAAATAAACTAAATGAAAGCTCTTTTAGCTGGGAGGAAAGTGACAGCTGAATTTCTGAGCTATAGTAAAGAAAAAAATAAAATAAAGTGGTAATTACATTTAAAAACCCGGCACCATAATAAATAAAAAAAAAAAAAAAAAAAAAAAAAAAAAAAAAAAAAAAAACGAGTGGGGTCCCCCCTACCATCCATACCAGATCCGAAGGGTATCTGATCTGGTATGGATTTTGAGGCGAACTCCCACGCCAAATACAGATACCATCCGGTATCGGATCTGGTATGGATTTTGAGGCGAACTCCCACGCCAAAATTAAAAAAATAAATAAAAAAAAAGCTGTGGGGGTCCCCCCAAAATCTATAGCAGACCCTTATCTGAGCATGCAGCCCAGCAGGTCGGGAAAGGAGGAGCGAGCGAGCGCCCCCCTCCTGAACCATACCAGGCTACCTGCCCTCAACATGGGGGGGGGGGGGGGTGGTGCGTTTTGCAATCATTGGAAGTGGAGCCTTTTTTTTTTCATTCTCATCTCGGGTCGACGGGCATCTTGATTGATGTTGGATCTACTGTGGGGGACATTTTAGTTTTTTTAGGGGGGGGGGGGGGGGATTTTGATAAGCCCCCTGCCCGCAAACACCCACAACCACCAGCTAGGGTTGTGGGGAAGAGGCCCTTGCCCTCATCAACTCCCCATGTTGAGGGCCGGTGACCTGGTATGGTTCAGGAGGGGGGCACTCGCCCCCCCTTTCCCAAACTGCTGGGCTGCATGCTCAGATAAGGGTCTGGTATGGATTTTGGGGGGACCCCCACACCTTTTTTTTTATTTTGGCGTAGGATTTCCCCTCAAAATCCATACGAGTGGGAACCCCACTGACAGCTGAAACATTAACACATGGTTGTCACTACTAAAATACCGCATGACGGTATTTTAGTAGCGTTTACTTTTTTCTGACCTTCGGAATAGATTAATTGGTTTTCAATGCATTCCTATGGGAAACGGCGTTTCAGTAAATGAATTTTTCGCTATCCTGCAGAATTAAATTCGTAAACTGAGGTATTACTGTATTGCTCTCATTTCAGCATGTGCTAAGATAGGTAAATTGTCTATCCCAAGAGACAGTTTTCACACGTAGGTGCCCTGATGGGTGCATTCAGGTTTGTGTGTATGTGGGGGTGGGGTTTAAGGGCTTTTTTTTTTAAACTTTCACTAAAAGATTATGTATATCACATAGGGGCACACTGTCTGACAGCACACAGCTATGCGAAGGCAAGGGTCGCTCTGTGCAATATACAGAGGAAGTATGTATAACATTTTTTATTTTAGTAAAAAAACAAAAAAAACAAAAACACACAAAAAAAAAAACACACATATACTTCCTGTGTACACACACACACACACACACACACACACACACACACACACACACACACACACACACACACGTGTGTGTATATCTATCTCATTTAAAAGTTTATGTAACCCGTAAGGGTCTGTGCATATGTGAAATATTGCTTGGTGTGCATGTTTATGTTTGTTGAACCATGTGTTAGCATGTGCTGACAGGCTTTTTTATGTTTGTTAAATTGCTATGGGTCCTTGTAAGGGAGAAATTAATAAAATGTTTTTTTTTTATGTACAATAGATTTACACTGCGTTAACGTGCATATACAAGCATTGCATTCCGTTAAAATGCATACATGTAGCATTTTAACAATGCACATAATGGCAGCATTGTGGTGTGAACAGGACCCATATAAAGCAATTGTTTTCTACTTTTCTTTGTGGAGACCTGCATTCTTCCAGTGCAGTAAAATGCAGGTCAATGCAGTATGTGTGAACAGGGCCTAAAACAAATACTCAAGTAATGCATTCTTTTTTTTTCCTAATAAAAGGATGCTATACATGTCCCTTCTATTGCTGTTAATGTAATTTATTAGCAAATATCAGGTGATCTTGCCAGTTTTATAGATTCTGACCATAAGCACAGAATCAGATCCATGCGGGAGCGGTCAGCATCCCTCTTTCTGATTGGATCTACAGGATAACCTGTCTATGCAGTAAAAGTCACATTTTGGATTGTTTAATGTATCAGTGATTGTACTAAGTATATTCCGTAAAAGAGAAGTAAAACTGCATATCAGAGCAGATTTTGTGCTGTTAGGGTTGCACTTTGTCAGTTCATGGTAGGCAACAGTACACGATTTGTTTTCTAATACATGCACAGAAATAGCCTTACCCATCTGGCATTGGTACATGTTCCTGGGGCTCTGGTTGTGGTCAGAGAAGGGAATGAAGTTAGCTACCACACTCATCAGACTGTGTGGAAAGAGCTCCTGATGAGTGGTGACACCAGGTACAATTTCGCCTTCATATATTGCTATGTTTAAAAAGACCTGGAAAAAATACACAACATGTCAAAGTTAAAATTCAAGTGGTTTTACAGGATACAAAAGAAAAAATAATATTGCAGCTTACCAATTCTTAGATGTGACATTTTACTTTCACCTGGTGATCTGGCTAGTAAGTCATTGTTAAACAGAAAAAGCAGTTCTGCAGATGTAGCAGTTAGGGGGCTGACACAAACCATTTACTACGGACAGGGGTGCCTACAATGGGCAGCTTTTATGTAAAACCTTTATCCCAAAAGGAAAACATCTATTGCTTTAACTGCTTATAAAGTATTAGATGGAGTTTGGCTTCAGTTTGTTAGTAAATCTTCTAGTACATCTAATATTCCCCTCCCCGCAAACAGACAATGCTGCTGTCCCAATGTGACCTCTGTACTCATCATTTAAAGTGGAGGCACTCTAATTCAGGAGGTGTGTTACTGGCCAGATCATCAGGTGAAAACAGAGAGAAAAAAAGTCTTAAAAAAAAAAAAAAAACTAATGCAGCTACCACATCGATTTGTAAGCTGCAATATATTACATTATTGGTTTTAGGTTTAACACTACTTCAATTACAATAACAGCAGTTCATATATTCCTACATAAAAAACAACCTTTCAAAAGCTCCATGTAAATAAATTTTTTTTAATATGCATACACCCCAAAATGTCTAACAAACCTTCAAAGGGTCTTAGAAAAGGACCCATACTTATTCCTTATGCAGAGTCCTTCAATGCTTTCTGTATTTTGCAAGAACACTGTCAAAACTGCAGAAAGAAATATTCTCTTCTCTGAGAGTGATCAATCTGATCAGAGCTATGTTCTATTAGAGCAATGGGCAGGAGCAGTGGGAAGATCTGTGTGAGAGTACAAGGAATTTTTACATTGGCATGTCATAGTTAGTGGTGACAGAGGAACTGGTCGCGAGAGGGTGAAGACTTTATAACTGGCTGGTTAAAGTATACAGAGTTAAAATTTGCATAAACGCTTTAGCACAGATGCTGGGACTTAGCCCAAGAAGTATAACTGAGCCTCGGTGATCTCAGATAGAACTTGGAGTGCTGCAAGGGGAGAACCGATCTCTCTGGTCCTCAGAGATGGGGGTGAACTCATTCATCCACCAGTGACGGCCCTTGTATTAGAAGAAAGCCACACACCGTCACGACCAGAGTATGTCTGTCAATATGGGACGTTTTGCCCCGCCCACCAAGGCTTAATCATAGAGGTGCTCTGAAACATAACCGACCCAGACTGAGCGTGAGTACTTCCGTTAGAATACCGCTTTCCCATCCAAACACCGACAAGAGACACCACAGTCGACCATACAAGACTAAAACTCTTTATTTGAACACAGATACAAGATATATACACTCAGGGGACAATCCCCCCTCCCTGCATAATGACATAGGGCAGGGCAACCTACATTTAGTAACAAGAGACACACAGGTATTCAAACTTCACACCAGCAGACAGTCCCATCAGGAGGGAGGGCTGCTGGAGACACCCCCCCACTAAGCTAATACACAAACACATACATCCCATAATAGTTTGCTCCCAAGTCAGAAGCAATAGAAAAATGGGATGCAGCCACATAACATTAAACAATCAACAAACCCCACCCATCTCCTAAACATGTCTACACAGTCTGAGACAAAGCCCACACAATATTAGGACAGATCACCCTGTACCCTTAACAGGCACAGGGTGATATAAACATAAGAGGGATATGGGGAGCTGAGACAGGGGTCTCCCCACCTCTCCAAAGTGAGCTGGGTTCCATGGGCCCCCCACCGAAAGTGACTCCCGTTACATCCTCTATGACTAAGCCCCGGTGGGTGGAGTGAAATGCACCAGGGGGCATAGTCTGTGGAGGAGAGCTGTCTGAGGCCATATTGATACACATACTCCGTTTGGGCCATGTGTGAGCCTCAGTGAGATCTGAACAAAGTCAGCACTTCTCTTATGATAAGAAACGAAGATGAAGGCACTGTCATGAGCAGTATTGGAAACGCCAAACATGAAAAACATACAGTAGTTGATGCAAGGGACACTTTAGTAGCGTTTTATTTTAATCACATATGTGAACACTTTTTACTTTGGTATATTAATCGAGTCCTCTACATACCTGTTCTAATGTTCCTATAAGCTCTGCTTTCCCAACAGCTAGATTCCTGACAGGACGAACCATTCTACAAGGAGTGGTAAAGATAAAAAGTCCAGGATATAGACTGGCCTTCCCAGTCATTGGAATCAGCACTATTTCTGTCCAGGGTGGAATCTTTTTTTCCTGGGTTACCTATTATTGAAACAAAATGAACCAAAGCTGTAATAAATAGCACAAAGGCCATCATTTACTGTTAGGTAAAACGGACTCTGTTTACATTACATGATAATAAAAAGAAATTGTTAAAACAGGTATACAAAAATGTTTTATTTGCATTTCGGGGAATCAACTCTACATACCTTTCTTAACCACTAGCTGACCACAGATAGCCGAATGACGGCTTCACTGCGGCCGGCCAGTTCTGGGAGGGCGACATATGACTTCCTCCCAGAACGCACTCTCCTGCGCGCCCCTGGTGATCTCCGTGATCGCTATGTCCTACGGACACAGCTGATCATACGATGTGGTAAAAGGCCAATCACAGCAGCCTTTTATCATGTGATCAGCCGTGTCCAATGACACATTGATCACCGGGAAATGCAATTGCCGGTTATCAGCTGCACTTTCCTCACGCTGTGACAGCGTGAGGAAAGTACTGCCGAGAACCGGCAGTTGTCAGAGGAGGGATCGGCACCAATCATCAGGGCACGGATGATCGGTGCTCAGCAGTGCCACCCCATCAACGCACATCAGTGAAGGAGAAAAATTACTGGTTTGCAAAATTTTATAATAGAAACAAAAACAACTTTTTAAAATTTTTTGCTCTTTTAATGTTCATAGCGTAAAAAATAAAAACACCCAGTGGTGAGAAAATACTGCCAAAAGAAAGCTCTATTTATGTGAAAAAAAATTTATAAAAATTTCATTACGGGTACAATGTTGCATGACCGCGCAATTGTCATTCAAAGTGCGACAGCGCTGAAAGCTGAAAATTGGCCTGGTAAGGAAGGGGGTATAAGTGCCCGGTAGGCAAGTGGTTAAAGTGCACCTGTCAAAAGAGAAAATTATGGACTGCCAATGATTCTCTTGTTGTGCATACATTATTAATACATTAATATGGCTTTAAATATTTCTTAAAGCGATACTAAAGGTTAATTTTTTTTATTTTATTTTGCAAAATAACAAACATGTCTATACTTGCATGCTGTGTGTAGTGGTTTGGCACAGAGCAACCTGGATCCTCTTCTTCTCGGGTCAACCGCAGGCTCTCATAGCCCCTCCTTTCTGTTGGGTGCCCCCATAGCAAGCAGCTTGCTATGAGGGCAACCACTGTATGTATTCACACACTGAGCCGCAGCATGGCCCTGCCTCCCCCTCTCATTGGCTGATGGGCTGTGAATGACTGCAGCGGGAGCCAATGGCTCCTGCTTGCTGTCTCAGCCAATGAGGCAGAGACTCGGGACAGCCGAGGCTGTCGTGCACATCGCTAGATCTCGTTGGGGCTCAGGTAAGTATTGAGAGGGCTGGGGGCACTGCTGCACACAATAGTTTTTTTTTTTTTTTTGCATAGAATGCATGAAGGTAAAAAATCTTCAGCCTTTACAACCACTTTGACAGAGAAGAAGAAGTATGCAGCGAATACGTGTCAAAAGAGAATTCAGGATTTGTTATAGGAAAACTTGTTCAAGGACTGTGACTCAAAAATGTAAGACCAGGACATTTTCAGAAGGAAAGATCAGCAGTGGCAGTCACCACATTCCTCTGAAGCAGTTGAAAAGTTGCTGTTGATGCCTATTATTAATCTTGAAAAAAGAAAAAAAAAAAAAAAAAAAAAAAAAAAAAAAAAAAGGAAAGTCGGTATTATACCCTGCTAAACTTTGCTCCCCTACAGAAAAACATGCACCTAGAGCATATACAGTACAGACACGCAGTGTACCCAATATACACAGTCAGAACACAATGCATGGATACGACATTAATGCAGATATTGCCTACCTTAAATATGGCAATTTTATCTGGTGAGTCACAATGGACTGGGGTGAAGTCACTGGATGTACATCCATGGTGTGGTTTAGTGGAAGAGGATACAAGAGTAGACTTGTCACTTTAAATTTAAGCAGAATGTTTGGACTGGTCACATACGTTCACTTATGTTAAGACTTTGGGAACCTTCATTTAAAAGGATAAGTTCACCTTTCATAACATGTTACGTTACACCCATATTCAGGGTGTAACATGTTATGAATAGACAAGACTCCGCTCCTCCCCGCTCTGCCTGCCCATCTGCGTCATTCAGTCCTCTGTGTGAATGAGAAACTACAAGTCCCGACAGCCTTAGTGGCTGTCGGCTTGTAGCTCTCAATGAACTTCCACGGCGCTGGAGAGCACTGTGGTAGTTTATTAATTCTTCCTGTCAGTATATCTGCTTGCCCGTACATCCCGTATGGGCAAGCAGATATAACAGGTCTGCAGGAGACCTGCATGGCACCAGCGATCTGTTGATGACTGTGCAATGGTTTACAGGCTCCTGCAACAAAATATAATAAATGCACAATTTTTTATCTGCAAAAAAAAGTGAATTATTTTTTAGCAAAAGGTGAACCTATCCTTTTAGAAACACTTGGTGTGTTGAAGGACACTTGTGCATTTATACATTTAATTTTTTGACCGATATTGCTTTATGTGAATATCTTTTTTTCACAGCGCTACTAGTGAATAAATACTAGGTTGTTTAGTCACATTATGTTATTTATATAAGGAAAAAAAAAAAAACATACCTTAAAAGTTCTTAGAGTACTGACAAGATTCGGAGTCAAGTCTTGGTCTATCCAGCCCACCATGGCACCATCTAGCATAACCTGGTAGCAATCCGCTAAGGGCTTTCCTGGAATTCCATCAACAGGAGTGACACCTAAAGAAGAAAGAATAAAGCTGATCTCCATGTTCCACTTAATTTTAAACAGTTCATTTGGACCAAGCTGGTCCAAACTATATATTTACTTAACCACTTCAAGTCCGAACACTTTTACCCCCTTCCTGTCCAGGCCAATTTTCAGCTTTCAGCGCTATCACACTTTGAATGACAATTGTGCGGTCATGCAACACTGTACCCATATGAATTTTTAGCATTTTTTTGAGACAGATAAAAAACTTTATTTTGGTGGTATTTATTCACCACTGGGATTTTTATTTTTTTTGCTCTATAAATGAAAAAATCCAAAAATGTTGAAAAAAGTGTTTTTCTTATAAAATTTTGCAAATAAATTTCATCATACATCTTGGCCAAAATGTATTCAGTTATCTTTTTAGTAAAAAAATAAAATAACCCAAATTAGTTTAGAACGAAAAATTATAATTTTTAAAAACATTTTACATTTTTATATCATTATTTATTTTTTTCCCCTCCATACTGTCACCCTAGCAGTACAGTGTCACTATGGTGACCATGTGACCTCTGATCATTCACAGATTTGACACGTAGTAAGCAATGATGTCAGAAGTGACATCTTGCTTACTACTCTTCATGTGATCACTGATTGGCCAATCAGTGATCACATGATCGGGACCTCGCACAGAGGTCCCGTACGACGATCAGCGTTCCACTGTGTCCGGAGGACACAGCGGGCACGGGATCGTGGTGCTGCGCGCTCCCAGGGAGCACGCACAGTCCAAAATGAATGGCAGCCCGCCCCTGGCCGTTTATAGAGGGCGGCCGGACGGCAAGTGGTTAATTAACAATTGCAGTGGCTGTCTGTGCTGTAAAAAAGTAGCATCAGTCACATGCAGTATACAGAACTGTGTTCTGGCAGCGGGAAGAGAATTTCCCACCCCACTCCCGGAACAAAATTAAGCCAGGAGGAAGGAGCTTTGTATTCATTGACAGAGAAAAGGCATCAGATGCCTTCACAAAATACAATATAGGCAAAACTTGAAAGTAGATCAATACTTGCCTAATGTGCATAACAAAACCTGCATGTGAGCATTGATGGAGGTCTGTGTCACAATTTCACATGTCACAGTCATGTGATTCATTAGCCCACAGGGCTCGCCATCAGGTGTGTGTACAGGACATAGAAAACCCCAAGATTCTGGCAGGAGACGACGAACAGTTGTGGTTCTCATCTTGGCAAAGGCAGCACCTCTGTGCACACAGCGGAAGTGTGAAAGATACCGAATGAAGTTCAACTTGTCTGCAACTACCGACAGACCAGAAGCCTGGAGTATACCAAGACCTTAGAAAGAAAGACAGACGGGAAGATAAACAAAAAAGTACACATTCAGCAAAATTTAGTTAAAAAACATTACATTACATTGGCTCCTCTGCTCAGGAAGAAATATAAGAAGACAATTATCTTATGCTTCCAAGGTCTATATTCCAAGTAATTGGAAGTAGAAGACCCTTTCTATTTTTGCTCAATAGTTTGCTAGGGCGAGCGACACTATGGCCATTAAAGACCCAACTGCATCTTTCAGGGGAAGATCAGAGGACTTCAGGATAACACAATTCCTCTGGATAACAGCCTGCACAACACAATGCATAACCCCAGATGAAGATCTCCCCAGTGCAGATCCTAGAGACAGAATTACTCCCCTTTTGCCCCATTTTCCCCCCCTCATTTGCCAGTGGCCCTTACAAAACATTTTAAAAACATCCAGAGGCACTGCATACAAGTCCAGCAATATTATTCTGCCAATTCTGGCAGTATTCTGTGGTGTTATCCATGCTACAAGCAATAGGATGTAGAAATGCAGTTATTGGAAATTTAAATGGATATGATTTTACACTATGTCCCCTACAGAACCCATTGAATTAGAAGTAAAATAAACCCAGCTCAGCATTGTAGTTTTCAACCAGCTTTCTCTACAAGATTAGCCTCAGCTTACCAGTTTTAGATCGAAGATTTCCTGTAGCGAGCAGATATTCGCAGACCCGCGTGAGATCAGTTGTGCTACCAAATATTTTCATGATGGACTCTGTGCTTAGAACTAGATTGGGTTTCTGAGCTCTCTTGTCCAAGTTGAGTTTGGCAGCAACAAGACAACCTTCCATCTTTTCCTATATTTAGAGAAAAAAAAAAAAAAAAATCACATTACACTGGTTTTAGTTAAAGTGTTACTAAACCCACAACAGTACAATCAGTCTGTATGCAGTAAAGCATGCTTGTTATACTCACAGTGGAACCTAAGGGGTTAATCCTCTGCACTGTGTAAAAACACTGTTTGATCCTGAGTTCTCTGATCCTCCCCTTCTTCCAGTACCACCCTTATCCCGATAATACAGTGTGGAGACATTCTACACAAGCTCAGTTTGGTGTGTATACTGCTAGAGAGGTTTTTTTTTTTTTTTCTTGGGAAAGTGCATGTGCTCAGCACAGGGCCAATCAGCACCGTCCAGAGGTCAGGGGTCCTGCATCCTCCCAAAGCAGAATGAAAACTTCTACAAGTTTTGAAAAGTGCTCGACTGGACACTGACAGAAGTCACAAAACTGCTTTAACTGCTCATGAGAAAAGGTATTTAGCAGTTGACATTTACTAAAATAATTGCATTTCTATGTTTTGTGTACTGTGGGAGATCAATTATAGTGAATGCAGGGCCCTGGGTTTAGTAGTGCTTTAAAGCCCAACTGCACATTAAATCAGCTAAATATATCCTAGGTGTATCAAAACAAAAAAAAGGTTTTTACAAGTCTTAAGCCTAGTTCACATGTTGATAATATCAAATGAATGAGCGTCAGGTTTTTTTTTTGCATGCTAGTCTCATATTGAAAATGATTAGGTCACTAAAGTTACAAACATTTTCGTAAGATAGAATACGACTTCAGAAGTGATGTAATGTATTATATTGTACTATAATGTATTCTTTCGATTCTGAGCATGTGCAGTCTTGGTCATTATTTTATACAGGCAAATACTGTAAGGATTAAATGAAAATCGTTCGTTTGTTTTTGTGCTACTGTCCCTTCAGATATTTTCACATGCACTGCTGTGATCGGCTCTCAAAAGCTGTGTACTAACGATCAGATGATTCGATGATTGTTCCGAAAGCTGTATTTTTAGTCCGATATTCTCATTGTGTGTACAAGGCTTTAGGATTAGTTTACACTTGTGGTTGAAGGGGATATTCTCTGTCCCTCAAAATACTTCCCCTAAACTGTAGTGTTTAACCACTTTCACCCCCTCACTGTCCATGCCAATTTTCAGCGCCGTTGCACTGTGAATGACAATTGCACCATCATGCAACACTGTGTACCCATGTGAAATTTTTATCTTTTTTTTTTCCATACAAACAGAGCTTGCTTAGTTTCTGTTATAAAATTTTGCAAATAAGTAAATTTTTCTACGTCACTGATGTGCACTGATGAGGCTGCTCTGATAGGTGGCACTGACAGGCAGCACTGATTGCTCTGCACTGATGATCAGTGCTCTGATTATCAGTGTAAACGTCCCCTATCACAATTGCCAGTTTCCGGCTCTCCTCTTCACTGTCACCACATGAGGAAAGGACTGCCAATAACCGCCAAGTCTATTTACTATGTGATCAGCTGTGATTGGACACAGCAGATCACATGGTAAAGAGCCGCTGTGATTGGCCCTTTAACGCAATCTGTGATCAGCTGTGTATGAAGGGCAAAGCAATCACACAGCAATGCGCCCCATGGGGCACACGGGAAGCATTCTGGGAGGACGTCTTATAGACTCCCACCCAGAACTGGACGACTGCATTATAGCCATCTTTTGCGTAAAGTGCGGTCATAAAACTGGTTAATAAAGTGTGGATTATGAACTGGGTGTATTATGTGCTCAGGCACTGCTGCCATCACATGGGTATAATGAGAAAGTATGCAGCAGAACGTAAGGTACAATACAAAACACCAAGCTTATAGAAAGCCGCTTTTGGGGCATCAAGGGACAATGAAAGTGGATTGAATGTTCCGCTGTAAAAAGCAGTAAACAGGCAAACTTTTAGTTCAGAAAAAACATGCAATGTCTTTTCTGCAATAAAACGCTCCAACCTGCCTGCTGTCTTCACCAGAGCTGTAAACTGAGCTGAGCATTCACAGCTCAGCTTACAGCGTCATGCTAGTCTCCAAGTACTGGGACGATTAGTTGCATGTGCAGGACTGACGTCATCCTGTGCCGGTCAATGAAACGGCCCATGAATTGGCACTCAAAAGAAGAGGACAGTGCGGGATTGTTGGACAGGTGAGTATTAATACTTTTAGCTCTGCTTTAAATGTCAGCAGTTGCCTGGGCCAGCTTTAAAGTGAATCTGTTGCTTTGCCCTTTATTGGCACTGGATAGTGTGAAGTTGAAGAATGACAGATTTGCATTTTAACAATCCTTTGAACATTAATAAGCTTCCCATTTTAAAAGCCACTAACAAACCTTTAAAAACATGAGAAGCAGTTGTCCTGGAGTCAAAACCTCATGAGTCATTAAGCTGTCGGGATTCTCCTCCATACACTCTTCCTTGGCAAAAGTAAAAAGCTTTCGAGTCATATAGCACAGAATGTGGAATTTTTCTAAGTTGGATTTAAGGTGTATGCAAATGCACTGTCTGGAAAAGCATGTAAAAAACAGATCGTGTTTAGCACATTGCAATCAGAAAATGAGTTTGACATTGCAAAATGATGTTACTTATAACAATTACTAACCCATAAAATGCCTGTATAGTCTTTGAAAAGGGATATTCTAGTCCTCACGTGATTTAAAGATAACTCAAACAATTAAGTTGGCCATACATGGATCTATGTTTACTGTAAAGAAAAAAGTCTTCCTCCCCATCGGCGATTGTCAGTAATCACTGGGCGCCGGCGAGTAATTTAATCAGCACAGGGCCAATCAGCATTATCCAGATGTTAGGGAATTTCCATCCTCCTAGGAGGATAAAGAAAACTCCTCCTACAAGCTTTAGCTAGTGGTGGTCTGGACACAGATAGAAGTCACAAGACTGCTCTAACTGCTGAGGAGAAAAGGTATTTAGCAGTTTATATTTACTAAAATAATTGCACTTCCATGTTGTGTGTATTGTAGAAGACCAGATATAGTGGATGCAGGGTCCTGGGTTTAGTAACACTTTAATATAGTTCCATTTATTCTAAAATGCACATAGATCCTAAATTTACTCTGCCCATTCTGTATAAAAATGTTTGCAGTGCTACATGTACAAATATGAAAATAGAAAGAACCCAAATCATAACTATAAAATATTTGAATGTTCATGGTAAATGGTGAGCCTTCCCTTTAGTTACAAGTATCTCTTACTCTAGAAGGAACTCTGCCGCTTGCTCATCAGTATACCAGTCTGGGAGGTAGAACTTAACACGGAATCGCTCGCCAAGATACTTGAGAACTTCTTGTTGACTGTGACAGCCTTCCTCCATCACGGCTCTGAGCATCTGGGTGATGCAGTCTCTGTAAAAGGAGTTTTCCTCCTTGCCTTTAATCAACTCTGAGAATATCTGATAATCTGAGAAGTTAACAAGTGCCTGGAAAAAACAAAAAGACAATGTTAGAATCCTTCAGTTTTACTTCTGTGAGATCCTCTCCCTTCACTTCTTGTTCATTATATGGAAAAATGTAATTGCAATTATTCATCCAATAATTAAATGAAAAAGGCAAAACAGCAACAGAATGTCTGTGTGAAATTGGTCAGGATTACATTTCATTTGCTGGCATCTAGGAGGTACTCTTATTATGGCACAAACGGTCATAGCATCTGAATGATAGCACTGCAGTCTTACAACGTGACTCACAAAAAGATTACAACAGACAAGTAATAATCAAGATGTCAAATGGATGGTTTTGGAAAAAAAAAAAAAAAACCATCAAAACAGGCAGACTTTGTTTTGTTGATGTGCTGTGTAATTTTCAATGAAATAGTTACACAGTTAGTCTGGCTGCAAAGAGACAAAAAAGTCCATCCAGTTCAACCATTTAAAAAAAAAAAAAAAAAAAAAAAAAAAAAAGTTATAAAAAACTCTACACCCACAGTTGATCCAGAGGCAAAAAAAACCCAGCAAACCATGATCCAATTTGCTCCTGCAGGGGGAAAAAATTCCTTCCTGATCCCCCCCCCCCCCCCCCCCCAATTGGATATTCCCTGGATCAACTTTACCTTTAAATGTTAGTATCCAGTTATATTCTGTGTATCTAGCAAAGAATCCAGGACTTTTTTTAAAATAATCCACTGAGCTGGCCAAAACCAACACTTGAGGGAGTCTATTCCACATTCTCACACCTCTTACTGAGAAGAACCTTTGCTTGGGGATTAAATTTCTTTTCCTCCAGACGTAAAGAGTGCCCCCTTGTCCTCTGTGATGAACTCAGGGTGAATAACTACACCGAGTTCACTATATGAACCACTAATGTATTCATACATTTGGATCATATCCCCCCTTAATCTCCTCTTCTCAAGAGAGAATAAATTCAGTTCCTCTAATCTTTCCTCATAGCCGAGCTCCTCCATGCCTCTTAATAGTTTGGTTGCCCTTCTCTGTACTTTCTCAAGTTCCCCAATGTTCTTTTTGTGAATTGGTGCCCAAAACTGAACTGCATATTCCAGATGAGGTATTACTAATGATTTGTACAGGGGTAAAATGATCTCTCTCTCTCTCTCTCTCTCTGGAGTCTATACCTCTTAATAAAAGAGGATTTTGCTCGCTTTAGAAACTGCAGCTTGGCATTGCATGCCATTATTAAGCTTGTGATCTACCAGAACCCCCAGATCCTTCACCATTGATTCCCCCAGTTGTACCCCCCCCCCCCAGTATGTATGATGCATGCATATTCTTAGCCCCTAAGTGCATAACCTTACATTTATCAACATTGAACCTCATTTGCCACAGTTGCCCAATTATACAGTGCATTGAGGTCGGCTTGTAAGTTGGAGACATCCTATTAGGACGTTATTCCACTGCACAGCTTGATGTCATCTGCAAAGACTGAAACTGTATTTTTACTCCCAGACCCTATATTGTTTTAAATACTAAAAAGTAAGGGTCCCAACACTGAACCTTGGGGTACACCACTGACAACCCTAGACCATTCAGAGTATGAATCATTAACCACTACTCTCTGAATACCATCTTTTAGCCAGTTTTCTATCCATTTACATATGGATTTTTCCAAGCCTGTAGACTTTACCTTACACATTAGCTGTGTGTGGGGAACGGTGTAAAGAGCTTTTGCAAAATCCAAGTATACCAAGTCCACCACCACCCCTCTGTCCAAGGTTTTGCTTACCTCCTCATAAAAAGAAATCAGATTTGTTTGACAACTTCTGTCTTTCATGAATCCATGAATATTTTTTTCCAGCAAGAACTCATCTATGTGGTCTTTTATTAAACTCTCCAGTATTTTCCCAACTATAGAAGTTAAACTAACAGGTCTATAATTATTTGGTAAAGATTTTGACCCCTTTTTAAATATTGGCATCACATTGGCCAATCCAGTGGTCCTATTAAAGACTTTACCAAGAAAAATTATCATATAGGGTACTAGTCATTCCTGAGCTAACAATCTGAAAACAATCTTGTTACAATTTAGAGAAAACTAAGAAATGGTCACATTCTGTGTCGTTAACTATGCACAGTTAAAAAAATCTGAACATACATAGGAGCTATTCTACTTAAAGTAGTTAGAAAGTTAAATTTAATTTTTTTAAACTGAAATAAAAACACGTTATATTTTAATGACTTCATGCAGGGCACAGAGCAGCCCCTTATCTCCTCTTCTGGATTCCCCTGTCAGTGCTCTCCACTCCTCTTCTCCGTGTGCCCCATAGGAAGCCACCCAAGCTGGGTTGTGTGCATCCATAGACAAATATAGCATGGCTTGGCACAGTCCCCCACTCCCTCTCCACAGGATTTGACCAACAGCAGCAGGAGCTAATGGCTGCCGTTGCTCTCAACCAAACCTGTGAGAGCAGTAAGAGGAGAGAGAGTAAGTATTTAGTGAGGAAATGAAAGTTTTTTACCTTAATGCATAGAATATATTAAAGTAAAAAAAAAAAAAAAAAAAATCATCTTCAGAATCACTTTAAAGGATTTGTAATGTTGCCATCAAGTTCTGAAATTTACACATCCCTGCCAAACCCTGGAGTGCCTTGAGGTTTCTTCACGGGTGCCTTAGCAAAATGTCTAAACACTGCCCAAAACGTGTATACAAGCCAGTGGGTGGAACAAGTCTGCCTTTTAGTTACACAAAGCCACGGGTTTTCATTACAACCTTTTAGCCACCGGCATCCTGAAAACCAATGACATCATCAAAATAAAACTACTAGAATAGTTTTCTACATTTTAGAATGGGGTGCCTCATGACAGTCCATAATTTTAAAGGGTGCCTTGGGACTGTCCATAATTTTAGAGGGTGCCTTGACTAATTATATATATATATATATATATATATATATATATATATATATATATATATATATATATATATATATATATATATATATATATATATATATATATATATATATATATATATATATATGGGAAGGGTTTTTAGAATAAGGATAGTGAGGAGCTAATTTTTTGTTTACTCCTCTCCCATTAATACATGCATCCATAGAACACCTGAATGGCCCTGATGCAGCCCTGAATTACAAGATTCTGACACCCAGTTAAATACAGGTATTGAAACTAATAGAAACTAATAGAATTCAACAATACTTAAATACTTTTAAAGCCCAGCTCCAGGCTGCTGTTGGTGTACCCATACAGCAGGGTCCTCCTGGCTGGGCAAAAAAGTGGAGTAGCTTGAGGGGATCGGTTGCATGGAGAGGGAAAAGCTTGCTTATGCAAGGAATAATTTGTATTCCGTTGCCCCCTAGCCAAACAATGCAGCCCAAAGTGGATCATTCTCTCCCCACCCCATATCTGCCTGGTGTTCAGCTTTGGGGTTCCTACATGGAAGCCCATTTAAAAAATTCTGGACTGGACATAGTGGTAGATAGAATACCCTGTTTATACACAGCAGAACAGAAAAGAGATGTGTCAACTTAGCTAGAAAAAAAAAAAAAAAAAAAAGGAAGGTGTGTTTGTTCATTAAAGGAATTTTATGAGTACACAAACAAGCAAAATTGCCACTGCTGACTTTTTAAAAATGTACTTTCTAGGGCAGTCTAGGCCAAATGACTCATTAACCTGAAACAAGTCTGAACTATTCCTAAATTAGTAACTGACTAGATGGTAGAGCCAGAACAACATACAGCTTGCAATGTTAAAAAACAAGTATTTCTTTTTTTACTTACAGCTTTTTAAAGTAAGTCTGTCACAAACCTTTTTACAAGAAAAGTTGAATATTTTTATGTACTCAAGATTCAAACATTTCTCTAAAAGGATTCAATATCAGAAATGTGTAAATCCTGGAAAAAAAGTTGTATAATTCTTGTGTAAAAAACAAATTTATAAATAATCCTCAAAGTATACTGTATTTTTAGTAAGCAACTTTTTTCCAGTTTTAAAAATTAAAATAAATAAATAATAATAATAATAATATCTTCCTGTTTTTACAAACTTGCACTTCCATATTAAAATGGTATTGAAGGTTTGGATTTCTAACACAAAAAAAAAAAAAACCCCAACGATACTGACTCAGGCAGCTGGCATTATATTCTCAAGGAGGGAAACCTACAATCGGCACATGTGCAGTTCACAATAGTGTTCCCCTCCAATGAGAATCTAATGCGCCGATGATGCGCTGATCTCACAGAAGGTGACCCGGCTCACAGGATCAGACATAGCAGCAAGAGTCACTATGTAAATAAACAACCTCTCTCCTTTGTGTGGCAGTGTGGCCTGGTGTCTGACAAGCCGGGGACCGGTACCAGTCCACAGCCCGGGGGTTGGGGACCCCCGATACACAGAGTTCTCGGTGCACAGCGTGCCGTTTAGAGGTTATATTGTGATGCATGCAAGGAGTTATAAACTATATTTTTCCTTCTACATGGTGACAAAAAAGTGACATCAATGTTATTAGATGGCATAACATTCACTGCACAGTAAACCCATGGATAAAATCCATTGGCATGCTGTATAGAGAACGGTATTAAATTTTTTGCTTTACACAGGTTAGGCCATGTTCACACCTGAGCAATTCAAAGCTTCTCCAAAAGCACTTTGAAGTGTTACTAAACCCAGGACCCTGCATCCACTATATCTGGTCTCCCACAGTACACAGAACATGGAAATGCAATTATTTTGTCCAGCTGAGCACTGGTTACAGCTTGCAGGAGATTTCATTCTCCTCTATGAGGATGCTAAACCCCTGACCTCTATATGACCAGCGCCGATTGGCCCTGTGCTGATCAAATGCACTCTCCAAAAAAAAAAAAAAAACAAAAAAAAAAAAAGAAAAAAAAAAAAAAATAACCTCTAGCAATATACACCAAACTGAGCATGTTCAAAATGCCTGTGGTTCAGTCTGTCTTATTAGGAGATATGAGGTGGACACTTGAACAAGGGGGAGGAACAGAGCAGTCAGAATCAAACCGCCTTTTTTACACAATGCAGAGGATTAACCCCTTAGGTTCCACAGTAAGTATAACATGCATGCTTTACTGCATATACAGACTGATTTTACTGCTGTGGGTTTAGTAACACTTTAATGCTTGACATTAGTATGTCCATTATAATCAATGGTGCCCATGTTTAAATATTTTTTCTTTAAACTACATGAGCTTCTTATGAGACAGAGTTGCTCTTAGCTCAAGTGTGAGTGCAGCCTTATTGCCAGGTTTCATCCAAACGCCTCTTCTCCCAGTATAAGTAAGCAGAGATATTATTCTAATAAAAGTAATCTAATACCAGAAAAACTGACCTTCAGTGCAAAGCCAAGAGGAATGAAGAAGAGTTCTTTCTGATAAATGAAATTCACCATTATGGAGCCACTCTCTAAATAATGTAGATTCATATTGACAGCTGTGTGTTCATCTCTGACACAACGCATTGATATACCTATATATAAAAAAATAAATAATCATGACATGGTAACTCAATTTTCAGGAACCTTCAAGGACAGCACGAGAGGCTTAACTTATCTAAATAGGAAACACAACAATCATCAACAATGAATAAAAAGAGCACAATCACATAGACATCTCAGGATTTATCAAGAACTGACAGCAACTGATGGAACAACATGACAAAACAATACAATACAGAACAAAGGGTAGAAATCCCTGATGTCCTAGGAGATTCACAGAAACAGAGTTACCAACTCGGTTTTTCCCCCAATCATCTTCATCACATTAGAGGACAAAACAAAAAACAAAAAACACCACACAACTATTAGGCTACGATTTGAAGGCCAATTCTACAAGGCTAAAGCTGGCCACACATTATACAGTTTTCATATTCATTGTCCTTTAGGTTTACCTTCAACTATGTACTGCAAGGGCCTGCCTGATTGCATACGAATTGAAAGTGTTCAGGTTTGACCTCATATTATATGGTTTTGGTGCCAGAAGGCCAAGGTTGAGTACACCAACTGGGGTGTATAGTAGATACGTGTAACCCATAATAGGTACAGCTTCAGTCACTAGACTTGAAGATAACCAGGTTGTATCTGGAATACAAGCAACTACAAGTCACATTAAGACTACATATTTAATCGATGCACATACCTAGCGATTCCCCCAATACACTGCAGTACATGAATATCTTTATCTAGCCCACACTCAGGTGGGAGATGGATAAAGCCTCCCAAGACTTAAGCATTCTGTTAGTATATAATTTTACTACTCTGTTGGACTTGTCATGTGTTGCCCATATCCAATAAAGACTACACTCTCTGGAAAAGAGCAGAGGTTGACTGACTTGATATTCACTTTTAGGTAATTGCGTTCTATGCGCACATATCTGTATATGGTTTCCACAATATGAATAATTTTATTAGTTATTTATTCATATTTACAACACCCCATACCTCCAAAGGCAACACAAGGGAGAACTCAGAACCTGACCAAATGAGAGTAAAGAAGGCTCCACTAGAGCCTCTGCAGCCACAGGGATACCTTGTACCCTGAGGAAGTCACGTAACTAACGCGATGCAACGGGTAGGTACACGGTGACATAGTTCCGGTACGCGGTGACGTAGTTCCGGCGTGGATGCCATCTTGGCACACCTGAAACCCATGTAGAGGTACACCCATAGCATGAGGTTTAAAGGCTTATGATATACTGGAAATTCGCGAGCAGGCAATTGGCATTTTTTATGCTTTATTTACAATAAATCATATTACACTATGGAGGATCTTCTTTCCTCTATTAATATGATCTGGATGGGAGATTGAGCTTTGGTGCGGTTACCTGTGTCTGGAGGGGACCTGAGATGTGTAAGTGCCACCATTGAGGGGATTTCTTATGGATACCATCCAGTGACGAGTTACTGCCTGTGAAGGATCCTGGAGTGATCCCGAAAGCACGCTGGCACAGTGGGTCGTAGTAAGGAGGTGAGGGGGCAATTTAGCAATTTGAGGATTTCACCGTTGTTGTGAACGCACATTCACCTCATCACCTGCATGAATCTTTTTCAATGGATCAAGTTTTATATAATATTTTGTGGACTTTTTTAATGAACATTTTGATATTTCACTTTATTTATATATTGGTACACTTGTGTTAAATTTTATTTACTTATGGTCTTTGATTGAGTGTTGCGTTTTTAAGCAACTGTCACTTTGATTATCCCTAATTTTGGGATTCACAGTTGTTTGCACTAGTCTGTGTTTTCTATTTATTGATCCCAATTAGGGATTTTGAGGGCTTGTTATTGGTGTTATTTAAGTTTTCACCACACGGGGTCCATTTTTTAGGACCATTTTGATATTTCACATTGTTCATATCACGTGTTTTTGTGTCACAAAGTAGATCCCGATTGGATCAGATCACTTTAGATTTGTTTATCTATATTTATGGTATATGTATTTTTATTTATATATTTATTAGTGCTACACTATTATATAATTTAGCCACAGAGATAGTTTTCTTCTCCTCAGGCACGGGAGAGACCTTGGGGGGGGGGGGGGGGGGGGGGAAGGAAAAAAGCCCACATATGCAAATCCACTGTTACTGAAATCCTAGAGAGCATATACTGGGAGTCCATGCAACTAATGTGATGGGCCTAATGGAAATTAAACCATATCAATGTTCCTGTTAGGTTGGAGGAAACTCAACTATGACAATGCTCTTTTTACAGAATGTGAATGGGTGTTCTGTTTTAGGTAGGTGGAGCCTCGTGCGGTCCTGGAAGAAAAAACAACATAATATATATTTTCTTCAATGTTGAGTTAAATTTATTTATGCAATTGTAAAGTCTGGACCACAACATGCATGAATAATACAGCTGGCCTCCATCTTTGTGCAAACACTTTCTAGCATTATCATCTAATGTTCTAATAGTATTTTATGAACTGGAGTTTCTGGCACTTCATGCATTTTACTAGTTTGTCTAACTTTGTAGATAAAGTACTAGACTGCTAAATACTTCCATTTTAAGGAAGCATTTAAGGGCGTTTTAAGGGGGCATTCAAACCAGGCCACTGTGGTAGCACGCCATGCCTTAATTTTCAATGGCACCCCAACACACAATGGCAAGAATAAAATGTGCCATCTGGTTCAACTGCTGCAACCGCCCAAAGCAACCTATCAACTTCTAGCTTTCATTTTTTTCCCCCACACAGCTTAGAAACTGTAAAATCTGATTGGATACTCTAGGCTAGCGTTTCTCAACCTTTTTTCAGTCAAGGCACCCTTTAAAATTATGGACAGTCCCGAGGCACTCCATTCTAAAATGTGAAAAACGAATAGTTTTTTTTTTTTAATAAAGCAGCAACATCCACACATGTAGGACACCCAACAGTAAAAGCGATTGATTTTTCCAAAGCAAATACACTCTTGCACACTGGTACCGAGTAGTATTCCAGTGTTTCTCTTCTCCCTCATTTTTTCTCCCATCACTGAGCTAATGTGACCCCAGCACTGATGGAGAGGGGCAGGGGAGGGTCAAACAAGGATGCTGTGCAGGCAGCTGACATCCTCCTTATCAACTGATGTCATTGGTTGTCAGGACACCGGCAGCTAGAAGGTTGTAATGGTGCACAATGAAAACCTGTGGCTCAGTGTGACTAAAAGGCAGGCGTGCTCCACCTGCTGGCTTGCATACAGTTTCGATCAATTTTTAAACATTTTGCCAAGGCACTCCTCAAGCCCTGAGAAAGGCTGCTCTAGGCAACTGCTCCATCTGAGAAAGTCTCAAAACACTTTTTATAATTCCCTTCATGTGCATTGCAGCTTATTCATTTTGAATGTGCTGCCTAATGTAGAGTGTTGCATTGTCATAATGTTAATGAGCTCTTACAAAGTCTGAAATGAGGGTAGCCTATTCTGATTAAAAACAACAACATTACAGTGGAAAATGTAAGAGAAAAACCAATTACCATACTGGGTATAACCGGGACCTCTACTTTTCCACTTGGGGCGAATCATTGCAATGGGAAAATTTCTTCTTGGCATAATTAACATCCGAATCACCTTTTCTATCCCATTGATTATAAAATAGCCACCCATTTCCTATGAAAATAGATAATGCGATTCAATTCAGAATGAATGAACAATCACCTCTGATGTATGCTCATATCTGTGATAATTAAAAAAAAGGCTGCTGGACAGAGATGTAACACATGCCACGGCCACTATGCAACTGAATTGGGTGGTACCGCAACAGGTTGTGGTATGGTACTACACAGGGCTGTCCAACATAATACTTGTCCAAGATAAAATCCTTACCTGTTCCTCCTCATGATGCTGCACAAGCTGCTTTGGTGAAAGGCCATGTAAGTTACAAAGCTTGGATTTTACCATGATAGGAACATAGCCAAGGAATTGCTTGATGACACCACTGGGAACATCATTCACAGACCAACTTATATCCGCCTGTAATAGCAAAAAACATCCCATTACAACATTTTCTGTTGACATTTGATGAAATCACACACACTTACTTAGGTCCATATATATTTGGACACAGGTACTATTTTAGTTTTTCTTTTCCAGGTATTTACCAAAACATATTCAAGCTATAGTTATAAAATGTATATGTGCTGAAAATGCACACTTTCAGGTTTATTTGAGGGTATGTACATTCAAATTGGAGGAATGGTTTAGGAATTACATCTCTTAAGAGTAGCGATCCCCCCTTTTTTCAAGGGACCAAAAGTAATTGGACAATTGAATCAAAAGCTGTTTCATGGCCAGGTGTGGGCTACTCCTTTATTTCTTCATCAATTAAGCAGGTAAAAGGTCTGGCGTTGATTTTAACCGTGGCATTTGCATTTGGAATCTATTGCTGTGAACCTACATCATGCATTCAAAGGAGCTGTCCATGCAAGTGAAACAGGCTATTGTAGGCCTAGCAGCAACCTTAGGCGTGGCCAAATCAACAGTTTGGTACATTCTGAGGAACATACATTCGCAGCAACATAAAAAGGCATGAACGTCCACGGAAGACAACAGTGGTGGATGATCGTAGGTTCCTCTCTATGGTAAAGAAAAGCCCATTCACAACATCCAGACAAGTGAAGGATACTCTCCAGGAGGTGGGCGTATCATTTTCAAAAGTGTACAATCAAGAGAAGACTTCACGAGAACAAATACAGAGGGTTCACCACAAGGTGCAAACCATTCATAAGCCTGAAGAATGGAAAAGCCAGATTAGACTTTGCCAAAAAACATCTAAAAAAAGCCAGACCAGTTCTGGAAAAGCATTCTTTGGATGAATGAAACTAAGATTAATCTGTGCCAGAATGACTGGAAGAAAAAAATTGTGGAAAAGGCTTGGAACAGCTCATTAACCAAAGCACACAGCGTCATCTGTAAAACATGGTGGAGGCAGTGTGATGGCATGGGCATGCATGGCTTCCAGTGGCACTGGGTCATTGGTGTTTATTGATGATGTGACAGAAGACAGAAGCAGCCGGATGAATTCTGCAGTGTTTAGAGATATATTGTCAGCCCAGATTTAGCAAAGTTGATTGGATGGCGCTTCACAGTACAGATGGACAATGATCCAAAACACACTGCAAAAGCAACCCAGTAGATTTTGAAGGAAAAGAAGTGGAATATTCTGCAATGGCCGAAACAGTCACCTGATCTCAACCCAAATGAGCATGCATTTCACTTGCTGAAGGCAAAACTAAAAGGCAGAAAGACCCACAAACAAGAACTGAAGACAGCTGCAGTTAGACCCTGGCAAAGCGTCAGAAAAGAGGAAACCCAGTCTTTGGTAATGTCCATGGGTTCCAGACTTCGAGCAGTCATTGCCAGTAAAGGATTCTCAACAAAATATTAAAAATGAACAATTTAAGATTATATTCAACTGTCCAATTACTTTTGGTCCCTTGAAAAAGGGGTGATGGCTACTCTTAAGAGTTGTAATTTATAAACCCTTCCTCCAATTTGGATGTACATACCCTCAAACTAAACCTGAGAGTGTGCACTTTCAGCCCATATCCATTACATAACTATAGCTTGAATATGTTTTGGTAAATACAGAAACAATTGAGTACTGTCCGGGATACTTTTTTTATTTGCACTAACATACAATTTTGAGGACAAGCTTTCGGGGAATGTCCCCTTCTTCAAGGTCTAAGCAGTACTACTCACAAAGTTAGCAGGATGTTAGAAGAGATGAAAGAGAAAAAAAAAAAAAAAAAAAGGCTAGAGATAAGATGCATTCAAAGCAAGGGGGGAGGGGGGGGGGAATACTACACTCACACAGAGGGAGTCAAGCTACAGCCAATAGTTTTGGTAAATACCAAACCAAAAAAATAAAATTGTACCTGTGCCCAAATATATATGGGCATAACTGTATAGATCAGGAGATGCGCTGGATAACATGAGTGGCTACTGAAGATGGAGCTTCTGTCACTAGCTCCAAACATTGCAAATAAATCGCTCACTGATTGAGACAGACTTTCCATGATTGCAATTCATTAGTGAGGAGGTATGTAAATGGACTACACCTAAAACAAGGGGATTATTCAACTTTGGTCAAAGCTGCAGTTTCTTTTTACCTATAGAAACCCTCACCTGCATAAACGGTTTTTTTTTTGTACACGTGAACTCAGACTTAAATGCTTGCAAGTGGATGGTGGTAGGTATGGCACCGCCAACAAAAGAGTGGTAGCTCGGAATTCAGGATGACTGCAATATCAATGCTACACCATCCCAAGAAGCTGCATTAGAGGGATTTAACTGGCACACTCAATAGGAATATGTGGAATTTTGCTGGCGGGACTAAGGCTTCAGTTACATTTGTATTTGGGGATGATAAAAAAAAAAAAAAAAAAAAAAAAGTGTCTGTGGACACGTTTTTACTGCAACCCTGAATGCTGAAAAATATCAGAGGGGGTGCAGTGCATATGCCGTGCCTGCGATGTTTTACATCACACTGCAGGGAAAAAAAAAAAAATTTCTGCCACCTACTCAACGCAACCCGTGTGCAAATGCTGGGTTTATCGGGCTAACAGAGGCAGTAAGGAGGTGATACAAAGTCTCCTCACTACCTGTCAAATGTTCTCTGAAGAGCAATCTGAATGTGGACTACTCTTCAGAAAGCAACAGTCACAACTGAAAGAGCACAACTACTATACCAATACTTTACTAATTCTGGATATCTAATCTGACAATATGTGATTAGTGCTTATACTTTCAGTCGATTGAGAGTTCTATATAACTCAGGGCTTGTCCACCCCAGGTTACTTTTGGGGGGGGTGGAACTTTTTGTTTTTATGTCAATTTTTCATATGTGTTTTTATCTAATAAAATTATTGAGATAGATTAGATAGATATATTATATCTATAGGTCTGGTTCTGAGCTGATAAAAGTCAAGTTGTTCTATTTGGCGAAGTTTTATACCCAGCCCACACTGTCTCTATAGTATTTCAGATGTGATTATTGGAAATCTATATTTTGACATAAATACCAGTTGTCTAATATTTAAACATTAGTACAATGTATTTGCTGATGGCGGCTTGTCTGCAAATGTTTGATTCCTAAAATATAAAGAACCCTGCTTATGTATACTCACAGTCAGCCTTCCATGGTAGGTGCACCTTCGTCCTCTACATTCAGCCGGGTAAATCTTTGGATCCTTACAGAGACTTCCCTTAGGTACCATGGGTTGACTGATAACTGCATCCACAATTTTAAATGATACACGAGCATTTTTAAAACTAAATTCCATTGGTTTCATGGCCTAAAAGAGAAGTTGGGAAAGAGATTTAGGATATATACAAAGTATTCAACTTCAGCTATAAACATATCTAAAATCTTTTTTCCCTCTCCCCACTTACTTTCTAGATAAAGTAAGAAAGAGTTTAGAACCTCTGCCAGTTTTTTTTTCCCACTGCTGCCAGTGTCTCCACTATTTTTCCTGGTAACTTTTGTCATTGAGAAGGATGGCAAGGGAAATACTTTCAACGTGGACACCTTTTCAGGTAACAGCAAACAGGGGATTTCCTTTCACTTCCTGTTGTGCCTCCAGGACAGAAAGTGATGTGAAATCTCCACAGTGGGACTCAGACACCAATAAAATAGTGTGTTTTACCCATTTCCAACTTTGGTCAAAACAAATAGCTATAGAATCACTTGAAACAAACTGACTTTTTCAGCATCCAAGATCACTTGGATGACTTCTACAAGGTAATAGGCTGTCTTAAAGACAAACTGAACCCAGGTCTAAAAAACAAACAAAAACAACACACACACACCATACCTTTTCTGAGAGCACAGGACCCACTGAATGAAAAAAAAAAATGGTGCTGCTATTTTTTTTTACTGTATGGAATAGTTGTGCAAAATGTTTATCAAACAATATTTTCTATAAAAATACACTAAAATCACTAATAGTTCACACAAACAACATAACATACAAAATTCCTAATACATCTGAAATAGAGAGACAGCCTACAGACACACAGAGGCTGCATGAACCTGGCCGCATGTCAAAATTTGGCATGTGTGCAAGAGTGGGTGCACAGATCCGAATGCAGACTGCAGTGTTCATTCGGATCCGTGTACCAGCTTCTGCACTTGTCAAATTTTGACATGTGGCTGTGTTTGTGCAGCTGCTGTGCCTGCATCCACTTCTGAGCTGTTCACAGACAGCCTATAGAGGTGGATGCAAACACCCAACCTGGTGGCACAGCACACAAGACAGATGTCAGCACCCATATGATTGAGCCCTTAACCACTTGCCACCAGAAGATTTAACCCCATTCCTGACCAGGCCATTTTTTGCAATACGGCACTGCGTTATTTTAACTGACAATTGCGCGGTCATTCAACACTGCACCCAAAAGAAATGTATGTCCTTTTTCCCCCCACAAATAGAGCTTTCTTTCAGTGGCATTTGATTATCTCTGCGGTTTTCCTTTTTTGCGCTATAAACAAAAAAAAAAAAAAAAAAAAAAAAAAAGGACCAACAATTTTGAAAAGAAAAAAAGTTTTTGCTATATGCTATAAAACATATCCAGTAAAAAAATTTCATATAAATATAGCCGGGGGGGGGGGGATCTGACTAACACGGATGTATACTGGAATTTTTTTTGTTATAATACTAGTGCTCATGCTAATAAAAAGCACTGACACTGTACTAATGACACTGGGGGGGGGGGGTGATCAAAGTGTTTGAAATACAGTGCTGTTGCTGTGTAAAAAAGCACTGTGTGCGTTAATGTATGTAAAAATGCTGCTTTGTATTAATACTGCTGCTATGCAGAGCAATACAAAGCAGCATGTCAGTGCTGACAGGGGAGTGATCTGTGTTTCCATGGGTATGCCTTTCCTTCAGAGCACATGCGCCGCTGTCATCACCGGCTGGTGCTCGCTAGAATATCTCCTAAACGGTGCATGTCTAGGAGATACATTTTACCTACAGGTAAGCTTTATTATACATTTTACCTACCTTACCATACGCTTAGCTGTAGGTAAAAATATAAAATGAGAGTTTACTACCACATTACCATGTCAGGGGTGCTTACAATGGTTAGCTTTTCTATAAAAACCTTTATCCTGAAACCATAAAAAAAAAAAAAAAAGCTGCTGTTTTTTTTCCCCCCCCATTCACATCTGGCGATTTGGGATCGCAGGCAGAATCACTGTGATTCTGTTCACAATTTCAAATTGTACTGCAATCATAGCAAAGCGCAGCACATGTCTGGGCAGCATTTCTTTTTAATGGCAATTCAAACATGGTGCGGTTTTGCCTAAATTGTCATGCGGCAAACAACATCACGCAAAGCTTGTCGCCAAAAAAAGGAGCAGGAGCTTCTTTTTAGCGATAACCTTCTTGCGATGATTTTTTGCTGCGATACTGTCAAGCCACAAAACTGTGCTGAGTTTGAGGTGCCATTGAAAAGGAATGACACGGCGACCAGACTCATCCACCTTACCAACCGCTCTGTTTCCACCACCCCCCTCTGCCAATCCCTCCACTGGCTTCCGATTATCCAACGGATCAAATTCAAAATGCTTACACTGACGTACAAAGCGGTCCACAAATACCACCCAAATACCACCGAAGACGCACTCTCCGCTACTCACATGACCTCTCTCTAGTTCCCTGGTCTCCTCCTCCCATGCCTGCCTCCAGGACATCACCCATCCTATGGAACTCCCTACCCCAATCTATCAGACTATCACCTACTCTCCTCACCTTTAGGCGCACCCTGAAAACCCATCTCTTCAGGGAAGCCTACCCTGCCCTCTGCTAATTGCCGATCTCCTCTACTCTTTCTACCACTTCATCCCCCACAGCTATTCCTCCTGTACCACTATCCCCTCCTTCCTAGATTGTAAGCTCCAAGGAGCAGGGCCCTCGAACCCCTCGTGTATCGCATTGTATTGTTATTGTACTGTCTCATGTATTGTCTCCCATTGTAATGTACAGCGCTGAGTGAACTGTTGGTGCTATATATATATACTGTATAATAATAATGACACGCCAACATATGAGGTACATTTTGACAGTGCGATCTGGAATCACAAGCAAAATAATGGCAAATCTGCCCGAGATCCCAATTTGCCAGACGTGAACAGGGCCTAACTGCTTAAAAAGAGTGCCGGATGTTTGGCTTCAATTTTTTAGTCAAGGCCATCTAAATCTGCTAATCTAAACACTTCCCTTCACCTAGTCTGGCAATGCTGCTGTCCAAGGTGTCTGTGTCTCCTTTATCCAGTGGGAGCACAGTAATACAGGAGGTCTGTTGCTGGCCAGGTGTAAACAGAGGGAAAAAAACAAAAAAAAAAAACCCCAAAAAAACCAAAACTAATGCAGCCACCACATTTAATGATTGGTAAACTGAAGTATATTACATTTTCTGTTTGGGATTTAGGAGCACAGACTGAAGTTATTAGAAAGTTGGACATTTTTTGGATTAGAACCATTGTAAGAACGAGTATCCATTAGTCCTCATGCACACCGGACGTTTTTTACGGCGGCTGTTTTTGGCTTTTGGCGATTTTTCTTTTCTACACCCAGTAAACTCCCCAGCATGTTATCCTATGTGTCCATGCACACACAGGCTTTAATCAGCGTTCTTTTGGCATGGGCGTTTTTTGGCTGGAAAAGAACCCAGAACTCATGGGTTTCTAGAGGAGTTTATTTAACTGTAAAAACGCTCCAATGCTGAAAAATAGTGGTGCACCGAAATGCAAATTCTGTTGCCGATACTGAAAATGCAGAATGCATGTGGCCAAAATCCGAGCCGTCTGTGTATGTGGGGAGGCTCCAATATTTTTTTTTCTACTTTCATGTATAGATTTTTTTTTTTTTAAACTTATGATTTTATTGCTATCACATAGGGGACCAATAGTTCCCTATGTGATATCATGAGTGACAGGTCATCTTTGTAGGGGGGAGGGGAACGGAGGGCAGGAGTGGAGCAGTGTATATAGTGAGGGAGAAGTGTATACAGAGAGGCTACCTTACTGGCTGTCACTTTATGTCAGTGCCAGTTTTTAAATGCAATTGCCGGGAAAGAAACTTTCCTCCTCTAGCTCGGGAAAGAAACTTTGTTTCCTAGCTAAAGAAACTTTGTTTCCTCTAGGGGAAAGAAACTTTGTTTCCTCTAGCTCGGGAAAGAAACTTTGTTTCCTCTAGCTCGGGAAAGAAACTTTGTTTCCTCTAGCTCGGGAAAGAAACTTTGTTTCTTTTAGCTCGGGAAAGAAACTTTGTTTCTTTTAGCTCGGGAAAGAAACTTTGTTTCTTTTAGCTCGGGAAAGAAACTTTGTTTCTTTTAGCTCGGGAAAGAAGCGGTTTCTTTTAGCTGACTCTCTGAACTATAGTGAAGAAAAAAAAAAAAAACCCAACAATTGCATTTAAAAACCAACAATGACATATAGTGACAGCCAGCCACTGTATACACTGCTCCTCTCTCCTGCCTTTCTCCTCCTCTGGGCACGGGCACGCGGGCACACCCCCCCCCCCCCCCATCTGCAGTACAGAGTCTCCTGTGTCGGCTAAATTTTTTTCCGATCGGCAAAATGCCAGTAGTTATTTTCGGCCAATATGTTTCAGTGGCCAAAATTTCGGTGCATCCCTACTGAAAAATGCAGTAAAACACAGTAAACTGGCATCTTTGTATTTTTTTTAGCAACATTTTTTTGTGTAAAGAAATATGGAAAAACACGGCTAAATGATAAAAAAAAACTTAAGTTTTTAATGTGACTTTATACAACGCTACCTGCGTTATTAAAATGCCTAATCTGCATGGAGCCTTAGTATGAATGGAGAGAAAGCACACAGGAGAGGTACAGCCTGCTCACCTGCACTGCCTGGAAGAGCCCCTCTATCATGGCCTGGTTGAAAGAGTCGATGTGAGCCCTTGTGATGTCCTGCAGAGGAGGGTGCTGCTTCTTCCCAGGCTTTCCATACCCGGGGGCTGTCAGCTTCTTCAGACTGGGCTCCCTGGGCAGTTTGTCCCATTTCTGAGTCCAGTCCATTATGGCAGGAAGAACACTCAGCCCTGCGCACACAGCCTACAGCCACAGCAGCACATGTGCAAGCAGAGTGGGCGGAAACCCTGCACACATGCTGCCCTTGACGTACTTCCGCCAATCTTTGCACTTCTTGGACGAGTAGCTGTCAAGCGCCCTGTACCATTGCCAGCATGTGTTTTCAAATATGTCTGCAAACTTACGTGATGTAATTAAGGGCAGCGACCCTCTTATTGAAGACCAGAGGAAAGAAGTCTATTCAGGGCGGCCATTTTGTTGTAGACCATAACTTTAAAACGTGCCCTATAGAACAAACAGGAAGCTAGTCCCAGTCATTCTTACATTTACACCTCAGTTTCCTGCCAGCTGGCAGTGACTTTGTGGCACTTCGTTCCATAACATTGCGGTAAGGTATTCTGTGTATTTCTGTGAGGCTGGGGCACATTTGTAATTGTTCCGCTCCATAGGAAGGGCGGAAATGCTTTGCTTCTCCTCATGTAATCGTGAGCTGACATAAGGGAAAACCAGGAAAGCGTTTCTCTTTGTTTTACAGTGCCATCTAGTGGAGGCTGACTATAACTACCGTGCACCATGATCACTGTTTTGCATTGAGGTTGCTGTTTTTGTTTCCCTGGTTGAGCCAATCTATAAGGTTTTAAATGCTGTCTGCGCTCCTGCAGGGTAGAATCTTTCACTCTATTTGAAGGGTTGTCACCTCATCCATTTAAAACCGAACACCTTAATTAGGGCTTATGTACACAGGGCGTTTGGAAAACACTTCTGAACAATGGAAATGCTGGAAAATGTAGGTTAAAAAACATCTGTTTATCTGCGTTTTGCATACCGCGTTTATGCACGTTTGCATTTAGAAGTGAGTTTAAAAGATAACCTCAGGAGACCTTCCCAAATGCCCAGAATGCATTGAAAAACAGTAAAAAATTAACTATTTCAGACTTTTGAGATGAATAGAGAGAGCAGAAGCAGAGAGAGCAGTATGTGTTCACCTGTCTTTTCTGGTTGTGTTCACTATGGATCCCATCATGAGCATAATGCGGCACATTCTACCATTTTTTCCTTCACGCAAAACCTGGAACTGACTGCGCTGGTGTACCGGGTCCATTTTAATACATGGAAAACGCTTTGCATGCATTTGATGATGATGAAAAAACAGGCTTCGGACAGCATCTGAATATGGAACAGTTAAAAAAACGATTCTAAACGCAAACACTTATAAACACGGTTACAGCATTTACAGGGGCTGCTGAAAAAAATGTGTTTGAAATGCCGGTAAAATCTAATGCTCCTGAACACAAAACTTTGGTGCGTTCAAAAAACAGTCGACTGTAAAATCTCAACTGCCTGTAAACGACATAGTGTACATGGACACATAGGAAAACATTAGGGAGAGTTCAGGGAACGCTGCTGAAAAAAATGCTGAACAGCTCCTGAATGTCAGTTTAGGAGCTGCAGTGTACATGAGTCCTAACACAGGTTCTGGGGCTGATTTAATGGGGGATAAGGCATCAAGTGAGTTTAACCATGGGGGATTAATTCGCCTACCGGGCACCGGCCCCCGGGTTATATGAACCCATTGCCCCTTCGTGCCCAGGTTTAACAATTTTCCCCTTCAGCTTTCTGTCGCACTTTGAATGACAATTGCACAGTCATGCACCATTGTACCCAAATTACATTTGTATCACTTTTTTCACACAAAGAGCTTTCTTTCTTAGAGCTTTCTTTTGGTGGTATTTAATCGCCACTGGACTTTTTATTTTTTGCATTATAAACAAAAAAAAGTATAAATTTTGAAAAAAAAAGTTTTTCTTTGTTTTCTAAATTTAACAAACTGGTAATTTTTCTCCTACACTGATGTGTGTTAATGAGGAAGCACTGATTGGCACTGATAGGCACTGATGAGGTGGCATGGATAGGCAGCACTGATGGGCATTAAGGAGGAGGCACAGATGATGATGATGCACTAACAGGCAGCACTGATGGGCACTGACGGGCAACACTGACTGATGCCACTGTTGGGCAGCAATGATGAGTGGCACTGGTGGAGGCACTACTAAGCACTAGTGGGCGGCACTGATGATCAGGGCACTGATCATCAGTGCCCCGATGATCAGTGTGGGTGTCCTCTGTGACATTTGCTGGTATCGGCAGTACAGCTTGAGGAAAGTGCAACTGGAAGTGAACAAAAAGTAACTGAAAGTGTTAACTGGCAACTGTATTTACTTTGTGATCTGCTGTGTCGTAGGACACAACAATCACTTACAGTGCGGGGTGTGCACTGCTGGGGGTGCATTCTGTCAGGACGTCATATGATGAACCCTCCCAGAACTGGACAACCGCACTGTAGCCCTCATTCCCCTATAGCGCAGTTATAAAGTGGTTAATTACCCCTTAATCAGCTACAGAACCTGTGTAATTAATGTGTTCGGTTTTGAAGGGATGAGGTGGCAACTGTAATTTGTACTGAAGACCATTGTCATTGCAGCAGAAAGTGATGGCATGTCCCAAAGTTTTCACTTGTCAGCAGAACAGGAATTTAGGGAACATCGTCCGATGGAGAAATGTTTCAGTCTTGGAAGAGATTTCTTCTCGCTTCCTGTTGCGTCTGTGATGGGGCACAGATGGTAATAAAAACTGACAGGAGATTTAACCATTCTCAACTGTATACAAAACTGGAAAAAGTTTTGGCTAAGAGTAGAACAAAAAAGGCCAAACTTTTTTTTCATTTTGGATAGAGTAAGGTAGGGTCAGGTTTTATTTTGCCATCTGTGTCCCATTTATTTATTTATTTATTACAGGTACTTATATAGCGCCATCAATTTACGCAGCACTTTACATATATATTGTACATTCACATCAGTCCCTAACCCTCAAGGGGTGTACAATCTAAGGTCCCTAACTAACATTCATACATACACATACTAGGGACAATTTAGACAGGATCCAATTAACCTATTAGCATGTCTTTGGAGTGTGGGAGGAAACCGGAGGAAACACACGCAGCACAGAGGAGAACATGCAAACTCCAGGCAGGTGATGTCGTGGTTGGGATTTGAACCAGCGACGCTAGTACTGCCAGGCAGAAGTGCAAACCATTTAGCCACTGTGCTGCCCCATTAGAGAGATTTGCCTTCAGTTCCTGTCTCATGGTCAAAAGAGCAAATCTCTCCAAGGTGAGGGAATCTCTTGTTGTCACAAGAACTAGTGTCCCCATTGGAAAATTTCCCCGCTATGCCTGCTCATACAGGCATTTGGTGTTTTTTTTTCTTCAGCCTACCGAAGCAACTCTATTTGTTCGTGCACAATTAGGCAATTAAAGGCATATTTGCAGAGGAATGTTTTAAAGCTGCAAAAAAGAATCACAAGTGCATTTGTGAAGAGCTTTTGGGCAGGAAAACTGCTTAATGCTCATAAGCGCACATCAATTTGGTGTTTAGGAGCTTTCTGCATTTTTAAATGTACATTGAAAAATGAGCAGGGTGGGAATGTTTTGAAAAAAAAAAATGCCTGTAAAGGCAAATGCCTATAAACACCATAAACTCTTCTGCAATATCAGCCACTATGATCACGTTTCTGCTGCTTTCTTCTTCCAGAGGTTCTGGTATTCTTTCTGCCCCTAGTGTGCATTGCCTCTTATAGAGCTTTCACACTGATACGCCTCAAAAACGCATAGACATTTTTAGCACGTTCTTGCCGTGTTTTTTAAAAGACACGTGACTTAAAACTGCACCAAAACCGCTTCTTGTGCATTTTTCAGGTGTTTCCCATTGGTTTCAATGGGAAGAGGCATTTATGGGGCATTTTTTAACTCCACAAAGATGCTGCAAGCAGGAGTTTTTACAGCGCAACGCAAGCTCAACGCCTCAGTGTGAAAACGTACATAGATATACATTCACATACATAAGGAAGCAGTTTTCTTGAGCTTTTCAGGAGCTTTTTTAATGCAAAAACACCTGAAAAACTCCTCAGTGTGAAAGTAGCCTTACAGTACTGTGGATAAACCCAAAATTTTGAATTTTCTTTCAATTTTGATGATAACAGTAAAAACATGACAAATAGGGTGAATCTTCCTACCGGGGGTACAGACAGCACTGAAAACGTGACTTGCAATGGGTCTTGTAATCCCTCTTCACTCTGTCCAAAAATAAGAAAGTTTGGCCTTTACGTATACTTTAGGATACACTTCATTAAGCCCTGGTTTACACTGATGCGGTGTGGAATTTGAACCACATTCTGTGCGATTTCTGCACCGCATCACAATCGCACCCCGTTCATGCAAACCGCTGCAGGTGTGTACGTTAAGTTAACACCACCCCGAAATCGGTTTGCAAAATGCGGTGTGATGTGCAGAATCGGATCGCATGGGTGTCAATACCCATGCAATCCAATTCTGGTGTGGACAAAAATAATGGTCCTGCACTCTTTTGGTGTGGGTGCGGTGCGATCTGAGCCATAGAAAATGTATGGCTCAAATTTCACTGCACAGAAATCGCATGTGATTTGCACAGGAATGCAGTGCGGTTGCTGTGTGAATCACATACGATGTGCCGCACCGCATCAGGTGAACCAGGGCTAACACGGAACGAAACTCATCGATTTTTACAGTTTTAGAAAGAAGTTACACTCTTGGCAGGAATGTAACTGTCACATTGGTTGTGCTCTCAACCAAACTGTCAAACCATCAAATGACTGGTGTCATCACTGATACAACATCATGGCAGTTGAAAATCAAACAAAGGCCAAGATGGCAACTTCCTTGGCTGAAAAGGATAGGAGAGTTTAGTTCCATTTTAGGCAGTCATTTTAATACCCACATGAGAAACTAACAGTTTAATTTGTGCAGCACAGGTACTCACAGACATTTGAAACCCATCTCCTGTCAAGTCATATTTTCCCTTCATTCTCCTCCTACAGTTCTAGAGAACCCCATTTACTTTTTTTTTAAACTTAACTTTGCATGGCCATACATGTATTGATTTTTGATGAATCCAGGCGTGAGCAATTATAATCAAGCAATTCATCATTGATTAAAATAGTGAACAGATGCAAAACATATGGTAATGGCTATAAATATCATCAGAAATGATCTGTTTAAAAAATATAATTGAATTGATCTGTACAACAATCGGTTGTTTGATACGCACACAGATTTTTGATTGGAATTGTTCGAATGGTGGCTAAAGAACCTCAATCAACTTCCAGACAAATTCAAGCTGACCTTCAGGGACAGGGTACAACTGTGTCAGCTATGTCACTATGTCAGCTATGTCACTATCTAAATGAAAATGGATGCTATGGTAGGAGACCCAGGAGGACCCCACTGCTGACCAGTGATGTATTTAAGCTTTGTGCTGCCCTAGGCAACACAAAAATCGTCTGCCCCCACGGACACCTACCAACACCACCCCCCTCCCGTGGAGAGAGCCTGATATTGACCCCTGCCCCCCACCACTCATCTTCACAGCTCCGAACATCCCCGGGAACAAGAGTCAGGCTCTAAATACACCATCAAGCAGCCCACAGCCTCTCTAGGATACCACCTGGTTTACATGGTGCACGTGTCCCTTCTTCTGGGGGAAGGTGCTGCCCTCCTGAAAAATGTTGCCCTAGGCAAGTCCCTTGTTTGCCTTGTGGTACATACACCCCTGCTGCTGACACAGAAACATAAAAAAAAACAGATTGGAGTTTGCCAAAACTTACCTGAGGAAGCCAAAACCCTTTTGGGAGAATGTGCAGATGAAAAAAAATTACAGCTTTTAGGTAAAGTCCATTATTCTACTGTTTTCAGAAAAAGAAATGAGGCCTTTAAAGAAAATAATACAGTCCCTACAGTCAAAAATGGTGGAGGTTCACTGATGTTTTAGGGTTTATTTGCTGCTTAAGGTACTGGATGTCTTGACTGTGTGCATGGCATTATGTCAAAAAGTTGGGTCTCCGTCAGAGGTCATGGGTCTTACAGCAAGAGAATGACCCAAAGCACACATCAAAAAGCACCCAGAAATGGTTTCAGACAAAGCTCTGGAGAGTACTGAACTGGCCAGCAATGAGTCCAGATCTCAATCCCATAGAGCTCCTGTGGAGAGATCTCAAAACAGTAGTTTGGAAAAGGAACCCTTCCAATCCGAGAGACCTGGAGCAGTTGGTGAAAGAAGAGTGGTCTAGAATTCCAGTAGAGAGGTGTAAGAAACTCCTTGATGGTTACAGGAAGCAATGGATTTCAATTATTTTTTCCAAGGGGTGTGCTATCAAATATTAACCCCTTGACACCGACCTCACACAAATATGCTGCCCCACTCCATTGGGCTTTTTGCCGTCTGGCCACATATTTGCGTTTCTCCCTTTGTACTGAGAGCATGCAACACAGCGTGCTCCCAGCACAGTGACCAGGGTCTCGCCGTGAGCCCCCGGTCTTGTACGAACGATTGGGATCCGGAACTCCTGATTCCGGGTCACCTCTGAAGCCCAACCCTATGTTTTGTCTCTCTTTCAGAGAGAAAAAAAGACAACCGTGTAAAATAAATATTAAAAAGGGTTAGGGACTGATGTGAATGTACAATATATATATGTAAAGCACTGCATAAATTGGCGGTGCTATATAAGTACCTGAAATAAATAAATAAAAAGAAAAGAAAAAATAAAGAAAAAGACTGTGATCAAGGTTTGATCTAGGTCAGTGCCAGGGTTATTGTTTTGGGTCAAATAATGGTCAAAGGTCAGGGTCAGTATATTTTGGGCAGGATTTTTTTTTTTTTTACATTTTTTAAATTAGTATCAGTGTCAGTTAGTGTCAGTATGTTTTAGGTAGGACAAAAGAAAAAAGGCAAAATGCGCACGATTGTTTCTGGGCTGTACTGCAGGTACAAACAACAAATAACATATACATATGTGGCATCGCTGAGATCATCAGTAGCAGGTGAATTTATCTTGGGTTGTTCTTTGGTGGTAGACTATGGTAGTAACAAGAAATATACAATTAAATTGAAAATTTTACTATTTTGGGCCAGTTTACCTTTGATAATAATTAAAGAAAAAATCAGGAGATATCCATAACCATTTACCATCAAATGAAAGTCCAATTTGTCCTGAAAAAAAAAACAAGGTATAATTCACCAAGATACACAAAGTAGTTGTGATGATATGTACGGTTTTACTAACACATGTCTAAGTTGCAAAATTGTGCTTAGGCATTAGGATTTATTTTATACTTAGCCGTGAATGGGGTCAAATCGAAGGTTTCTCCACTTTTTTGTGTCATACTAATACAAACAAAAGAAATAAACATGAGAATGCCTAAACAGAAACGCAGAAATACAGGGGTGCCAATATTTTTGGCCATGACTGTAGGTGTCCTATCAAACTAATAAAGAGGGTCATTGAGAAGACCAATCACCCAGCACACAGATGAGGGTGGCCAGACTCCTCAACAATAAATGCTGCTACAATTATTTCGGGAGGATTCCCTGATATATTCTTGGGTAAAGTTGCCAGGGTCAGCTTGAAGAAGCAACATAATAGTAAAGTTGGACACCTGCTACATTTTATTAAAAATGCATTGGTACTCAAGAGAATAGCTTCAATTCTGTGTGTGAGGCTGTTAGTAGATGTCTAGTTTAATCATGCATTTTAACTTACTTTGCTAATTAAAGTCCTCTTGGTAAATAGTAGGTGTTCATCTGAAAAGCTTTGTCATTGCAGCATCCCTACCTGTCTAAGCTTTTGAGTCGCCTGGTGTTGGAGCTAATGTTGGTGTTGGACTTACTTTTTTGGACATAATTTCAGACATTTGCGCATATTCAAGTGTATTTGTGCGCATATGCGCTTTTGGGCATTTGAATGCACAATATATTCTTAGGGAAAATTAATTTATATTTATGCTATTATGCTCACATTCGCGAACACAGCATACATTACTGACCAGAAATGCTGATTTTCCTTTTCTTTTTTTTTTAACTAAAGAATATCCCACATTGAAAAAAAAATAGATTTGAAATATATTTTAAAAATATTCTTTCCAAATATATTGCCATATATTTGAAATGCTACAATTTTGGCCATCAATATATTTCAATAAATATATACATATATACTGCATGTTGAAATGCGTTTTTATTACAAAATATATGAAAAATATTTAAAAAAATACATTTCAAATATAACGTATGTCTTTAAAAATACAAATCCTACATTTTTGGAATGCATTTACAAATATATGTTAAAATTACTCTTTTATATGTTAAAAAACAATCTGGAGGATATATTTAAAAATTGAATATAGCCAAAATTGTAGCATTTCAAATCTATGGCAATATATTTTGGGAAGAATATTTTAAAAATATATTTCAAATGTATTTTTCTTCCATATGGGATACAGCGCTTCATTACATACCTGTGTGCAAAGGCACATTGTATATAATGGGCTACATTTTAAAAATGCTGTAGTGTGCAGGAGGTCTTGGGGTAAAGATCTGCTTAGTCTGGAATATACGGCCATACCTCATTGCATGGATTAAGGTCTACTTTTTCCTTTCTTAACAAGATGCCCATGTAACAAGCACATTTTTTATTTTCTGTCTAAAAAATCAAAAGTGAGGACCTAAGAAGCAAGGAATATTCACTTGTGTATCCCATATGTAATGAATAGCAATCTGTATAACATTAATCACAGCAGCGCTCCACACTTTTAAAAGTTTATAGTCTTTCACCAATTGGTGATGAAAAGTGCAAGAAATCCCAAACAGTCGGTGAAATGTTTTCTTCTGAGTCAAATAGCTCACAGCTTCACTCTATATGTGTATCCCACATGTCTTAATTCTTGTAATGCATATTTACTTTATTTATTGTCAGATTCTTCCTGGTGCCTGTGCCCATACCTCTTCAGAAATGGTGTTGCATGGAATTAAAGCCATATTTTTTGATTTGGATAACACATTGATTGACACTTCTGGAGCCAGCAAGAAAGCAATAGAAGAGGTAAATGCTAGTTTATGAAATACTCTGTGAATATAAATTAATACAACATAAACTATATATCTCCATTGTATGCATTAATGCGTAAAAGTTAAAGCTCAGCTTCAGGATATTTGTTTTTAAATTTAACCTCCAGCTTGTATATAAACAAGAAATGCAGCCTGGGCTCCAATACTCACCTCCGTTGGCGTTGTCTCTGCCTCTGTCTCTTTTATGGCAGAAGATTTCCCCAGTCTTTGGGGTTGAGTAATGCAGGACATCTTCAACTTCAAAGAGAGAGGATATACTGTAAGTACAGCCCCTAGGGGGGCTCTCAGCATATTAAGAACTGCCCAGCATTAAAGAGGTATAGGACCTAGATAGATAGATAGATAGATAGATAGATAGATAGATAGATGAAATGGTGTTCATATATGTATTTCAAGTGGGTGTTTAGCTGCTTACCTGTTCAGATTTAAAGTATAACTCCAGGGATTGGCCTGGTATACATGCTTACATTGGTCCAGCTTGGACTATGGAACTGTGAACATACCTTATCTGGCCAGTGCTGCTGGAAGTTTAGTGATCTCCAGTTGTTTGCTGGTCCCATGCCGAGTGGCTGCTCTCCTGCATTGTAAACACAGAAGGTTGGTGGCTCAGCACGGGCACCATTCAAAGAACACTTCACATTTTCGGAATTAATGCAAAGCATTCTGTGATTGGATGAGATGTCAAGGCAGGGCAGTGACTTCACACTCTCCACTTCATCTAATCAGAGAATGTTTTGTATTCACTCAGAAAATGTAAAGCATTCTTTGAATAGAGCCTGTGCTTAGTGGATGACATCCTTTGTTCACAATGCTTCAGGCTAGCCACTCAGCATGGGACTTGGAAGCAAGTGGAGATTATTGAAGCAGTGCTGTCTAGTTCAATGTAGTTCAATGATTTCCAGCTTCCAGTGGCATCAGCCAGTTATGTCATATACATCGTTACATTGGTCCAAGCTGGTCCAAGTAATTTAGTATAACACACTGATGCGTGGAATTAGTCTTTAAAGTGGTTGTAAAGCCTTAAAGTTTTCATACGTTAATGCATTCTATGCATTAAAGTAAAAAACCTTCTGTGTCTGGGATCCCCTCCAGCCCCCTTATACTTACCTGAGCCCCATCGCGATCTAGCGCTGTGCATGAGAGCTGGCTCTGTCCCTCACAGGGAAGATTAATAGCAGTGGGAGCCACTGATGCTGTCAATCAAACTCTGTGACGAGGGAGCAGGGGCAGGGCCGTGCCTCGCTGTCTGTGTCTATGGATGCAGGTAGCGGTGCTCGGGAGCGAGCCGACATGAGTGCCTGCATAGGAAGTGACTTCCTATGGTGGGAACTGGCTAAAGAGGAAGAGCCAGAAGCGCTGGCAGGGGACCTGAAAAGAGGAGGATCAGGGCTGCTCTGTTCAAATCATTGCACAGAACAGGGAAGTATAACATGTTTATTATTTTTATTTAAAAAAAAAACAAAGTTTTAGAAACACTTTAAGTTTTCAAGCATGCAGAAATATTACTTGTATTTTTAAAATTGATTGTCTTTTTTTGCACAGGTGATTAAATTACTTAAAGACAAAAGCGAATTTAAAGAAGACGAAATACATATTATATGTAATAGGTTTCAAGCAAAACTGCTTCATGAAATGTTTGATCCTTCTGAAATGACCATTGACAATCTCAGGGTACTGCATTGGGAGAAATCCATGCAGGAAATCAAGCCTGGGGATTACAAGGACTTGGCCAATGAATCATATGCATTGTGGAAAACCAAGCGTCTTCAACTTATGACCTTGTCGGAAAGCACCAGAAACATGCTAGGTGAACTGCGGAAATCAGTGCGCTTGGTCCTGTTAACAAATGGAGAGAGGCAGGTCCAAAGAGAAAAAATTGAAGCATGTGGTGTTAGTGCACTGTTTGATGCCATTGTGGTGGGAGGAGAACATTCAGAAGAGAAGCCAGATCCATCTATCTTCCTCCACTGCTGTGACCTAGTGTCAGTAAAACCAGAGGATTGTGTGATGGTGGGAGACAATCTGGACACAGACATTCAAGGTGGACTGAATGCGGGATTGAAGGCAACCATCTGGTTAAATAAGAATCCTCAAATAAACCGCAAACCCAGCCCTACTCCTCATTATACTATATATTCTGTGAATAAACTACCTGAGGTTTTACAGAATTTACAGTAGTCTTAAGGGGGTTTTCAGGTTTTTGAAGAACATGGGAATCGCTTTTCTGTCTGGGCATATTTGCACAAGAGAATGGCCCAAGTATGAAGACCAAAATGGTTTGACATCTTCTAGCACTGTAGCCAAGTCACAATTCTTTTCTGTACATACGGAAACAGCCAATCTGTGGTGTCTGAGTAGGAAGCCATCCACTTCTCCATGTCAGCACAAGAAGAAGAGCTTCCTACTTTATTCGTTTAGCCCAATTCTAGCTATTTTGTTTAGTTTTGAATAGAGCGTGGAAGGGTTAGAAATCTTGTCGGTTTTTAAATGTTGCCTTTTTGTAAATTTCTCTACCTTTTAAGCTTGTCACTGAGACAGGAAGACAGGAAGTGAGCAGAAATCTCACTGGGAATGAAAAAAAAAATCTAAGGGAAGCTGTACATCAGGGTCATCGTACAGGGTCATCTGTGTGAAGTGAGGCACCGGCTGGTCCGGGCGCATGCGCAGTAGTAGCCGCACGTTCTGCTTAGCAGCGGCTTGTTTGGAGAGCTGTCATCTGAGAGCACCCTCTCCGCATCAGTCTGTATCATACATCTTGGCAGAGACTAGGGAGGAATCAAGGAGGATTGTATAATGATTTATGTGCCATGTTTACTTCTACATATGTGAGCACATTGGTTTTATTCTTTTCAACATATAAATCCCCCACCAGGGAGATATGCGCTCTCTGCTGCTTTTTGTTTTGGTTCTAACCCTTCCAACTCTCCAAAACTGGCCTTGGGTTTTCACCTGACAGCATCTATTAGGTGTGATAAAGGACAGGTGCATTTTATTTAAAAATGCTGGCTGAAATGCTTCTTACAAATGCTAATGTATATCTGTAGGAAGATTTTCTCCCTATCAAAGTGACATTTTTTTTTTTTGCATTGTTGATTTCTTTAAAGCATAACTCTACTTTTGTTAAGAGAAGAAAACATTCCCCTCTGAGTGCATGGAATTGCGCAAACTTTGTTGCAGAGTCCTACCTGTTTCTGCTCTTACCCTGGTTCACATATCCGCGGTCTGCATTTGCGAGGGCACGAGAGCCTATTCATTTGAATGGACTCCCGTGCCCAAAGACACGCAGGGAAGAAGTTCCTGCACTTCTGAAAACGCAGTCCACGCGGGGGAACCTCGGTTCCCAGTACTGTTGCGATTTCCAGTGCGGGATGTTTACCATTGGAATTAATGGCAACCGCCCGCGGGTCCGCATTCCTCTGTGCGGGTGGTGTGGCTGCACGGAGTTTTGTGTGGATCTGCAGCGGCACCACCCGCACATATGTGAACCGGGCCTCATGGAATAGCCCTTTGTTAGATCATGCCTTGTGATTCTGAATGGGAGTGACTAATCCATTGTAAGCAGCTGATGCACTTTCAGGATTTCTTACTCGGGTCTCGGTATTAATTTTTGAAATGGCTTGTCTTTTAGACCTTTCTTATGTACTTCTCAAGCATTTACCATGATGTTGCTATAGCACTAATGAAATGCAAACAGCTTTGTTAATACATACAGCATCCTTTATGCTGGGATACTTTCACTTTTACCATGTATCAATCACTTCAAAAGTAAACCATTTTATTTTTAGGTGCACATGTACTTTAGAGCTAAACACCAGACTCTTAGAAAAATGTCAGCTGATCCAGTGCATTCATTGAAAATATATTCCATGATTTTTGTGTGATCACTGCACTCGTAGTCAGTCCATTGACACTTCCTGCAGCTCTCTAACTGAAAGTCCCTACCTTGGTATGGCCATAGAGCTGGAGAATGAGTCTATGGCAGCCTGGAATTGCACCCAAGACCCACTGATTGTGTTTGCAATGCTTTGTAGGTTAATTTGCAAAAAATGCACATATACGCAAATATACGTGCATTTGTCTTGTTGTGCTGCTCAAACTGTTAGCTCTATATAAATCCTGAATAAAAAATAATAATAATAATAATAATAATGCATTATTATTTTTTGCATAAGGTGGACTTCGAATTTAAGTTCTATGATATGCGCGGACTTATACTTGAAATTACTGTAACCATATTGCTCTATGTAATGTTTTAATAAATTAATATAAAACCTGAAGATTCAAAGTCTGTTTTATGTACATGTTTGTGTAAAAATTTGCTTCAAACTGGTCTTTTTTGGGCATAAAAAGAGCCCTACAAAGCCCAAACCAATGAAATTTAAAACACTTTGTTTCAAGAAATATATGCAAAAAGAGCATTATTTTGAAAAGAAATTAATACACTCTGTCCTGTAATTAATTTGTAATATAGACTATAGACTGGTAAGAGCTAGATTTGCCCCTAGCCATACCAATCTCTTTTGAGATATTGGGAGCAGTTCCATATTTGAACAACAATCTGTTTGGGCAAACTTGGCTCTCACTGCAAGGTACAGTGGATATAAAAAGTCTACACACCCCTGTTAAAATGTCAGGTTTTTGTGATGTAAAAAAATGAGACAAACATAAATCATTTCAGAACTTTTTCCACCTTTAATGTAACCTATAAACTGTACAACTCAGTTGAACAACAAACTGAAATCTTTTAGGTGGAGGGAAGTAAAAGTAAAAAACTAAAATAATATGGTTGCATAATTGTGCACACCCTTAAACTAATACTTTGTTGAAGCATCTTTTAATTTTATTCCAGCACTCAGTCTTTTTGGGTATGAGTCTATCAGCATTACACATTTTGACTTAGAAATATTTGCTCTCTCTTTCTTGCATACAGTAAACACTCCAAATCTGTGAGATTGCTTCTCCTGTGCACAGCCCTCTTTAGATCACCCCACAGATTTTCTATCAGATTCAGGTCTGGGCTCTGGCTGGGCCATTCCAAAACTTTAATCTTCTTCTGGTGAAGCCATTCCTTTGTTGATTTGGATGTATGCTTTGGGTCATTGTCCTGCTGAAAGATGAAGTTCCTTTTCATGTTCAGCTTTCTAGCAGAAGCCTGAAGGTTTTGTGCCAATATTGACTGGTATTTGGAACGGTTCATAATTCCCTCTACCTTGACTTAGCCCAGCCATACACTATACAATTTTCTGTCCAATTTCTTTTGGATTTACCTTCAACTATGTAGTGCAAGGGCCTGCCTGATTGGATAGAATAGAAAGTGTCGTTTTAGGTTTGACCTCATATTGAATGGTTTTTGGTAAATCTAAAGCAATTTTCTAAAGAAAATTGTATAATGTATGGTCAAGCCTAAGGCCCCAGTTCCAGCTGAACAAAAACAGCCCCAAAGCATGATGCTGCCACCACCATGCTTCACTGTGGGTATGGTGTTCTTTTGGTGATGTGCAGTGTTGTTTTTGCGCCAAACCTATCTTTTGGAATTATGGCCAAAAAGTTCAACCTTGGTTTCATCAGACCATAACACATTTCCCCACATGCTTTTGGGAGACTTCAGATGTGTTTTTACAAAATTTAGCTGGGCTTGGATGATTTTCTTTGTAAGGAAAGGCTTCCATCTTTCCACTCTATCCCATAACCGAAACATATGAAGAATACGGGAGATTGTTGTCACATGTACCACACAGCCAGTACTTGCCAGATATTCCTGCAGCTCTTTTATTGTTACTGTAGGCCTCTTGGCAGCCTCCTGGACCAGTTTTCTTCTCGTCTTTTCATCAATTTTGGAGAGACGTCTATTTCTTGGTAATGTCAATGTTGTACCATATTTTCTCCACTTGATGATGATTGTGTTCCATGGTATATCTAATGCCTTAGAAACGTTTCTGCACCCTTCTCCTGACTGGTAGCTTTTAACAATGAGATCCCTCTGATGCTTTGGAAGCTCTCTGCGGCCATGGTTTTTGCTGTGGGATGCGACTAAGAAAATGTCAGGAAAGACCTACTAGAACAGCTGAACTTTATTTGGGGTCAATCAGAGGCACTTTAAATGATGGCAGGTGTGTACTGACTCCTATTTAACATGATTTTGAATGTAATTGTTTAATTCTGAACACAGCTATATCCCCAGTTATAAGAGGGTGTGCACACTTATGCAACCACATTATTTTAGTTTTTTATTTTTACTTCCCCCCCAAAAGATTTCAGTTTGTTTTTCAATTGGGTTGTTCAGTTTATAGGTCACATTAAAGGTGGTAAAGTTCTGAAATGATTTATCTTTGTCTCTTTTTTTTACATCACAGAGACCTGACATTTTAACAGGGGTATGTAGACTTTTTATATTCACTGTATATATAACATATGACATATTGGACATTTGGGAAGAGTGACGGCACCCTTTAGGAATTCACAATGTACTGCCAGAATAATCTATTTGAAATCTCATTCACTCATGTAGTGGACCTTACCAGCCTTGTTTTCCTTGATTTGGTTTGAACATTTGAAAAGGAAGGGGTAATTTAGTAATGGGGTTTTAAATATCAAGAAGGTTTTTAACCATAATTGGGGAATTTTAAAAGAGGATTTTACTATATTGAACAAAGGCCTTCCCAAAAGACCTAGGTTTTTTTAATAGATAAAAAGGGGTCTGAATGTGCACGGTAGTGTTGAAACCCAGCCTAGGCAGAGTAATAAGGAATTCAGTTGTTTTTTTTTTTTTTTTGGGAGCAGAAGGGGAGCTATGGGTGTTCAGTAAAAAAAATGTGTGTTTGCAAATACATATGTCATCTTAAAAAAAATTGTAGCAGGGTTTAATGGAAATGCCCCTGCCATAAATGTTTTTTGGTGTATTGGATGATATTCCTAGTTCCAGGCTCATCTACAGTATGTTTGCCGTACATCTCACCAACTTAGAGTCCATTTTGGGGAGCATAAGAGGAACATATTAAAGGGTGTGATAAATCATTTGGTCCCTTTTGCTGAAAATGGATCAAGTGATTTATCAGAGCCTCACAAATGCGCTTCTGGAAGAAACCTTGTGGACAGTCTTCCCAGAAGAGTTGAAGATGTGGCCTTCAGATTAGCACAACAACAGTGCGTAGATCACATCATGAAATAGCTTTCCAAAC